AAACTTCTTTGGTGAAAAGTTGACGTGAAATATTTTTAAATTCTGAATAAAAGTTTTTATGGAACAGTTTTTTACGTATTTTGCGAGCTTTATAAAGAATTTAAATTTATAATTTTGAAATGTTCATCCAATTTGTTTCAAGTTAAAAAAATTCTTCGCAACATTTTGATTAAGGCTTTAAAACTGTCAGTATTATTTCCAAAGTCGATTCAATTATATCTCAGCTTTTCTACTAAATCTCAGATCCTTCATATTTTCCTAAAGCATTCTATATGACAGATACATGTGTCAATCTAATTTAAAAGTTTTGTTTCACGTGTCTTACGGCAATTTGACATGTGATATTTACATAGAAACAAATGTATTCATCAAAATGTTGACTGTTTGGTTTTGAAATTTAATCATCTACATCTTACATTTTCTATGTCATTTTTTTTTAATTTTCAAAATAGACTTTGTAGAGTCTAAATCAATGGAAATACTATTTATTCTTTAATTATTAATCTTTATTGTTGCTCTTCGTCTTAACCTTATTTTTAAACTGAAACTCTATTTAAAATCCTGTTGACACATTTCCAAAAGTGTCGGACCCTTCAGACTTAAGCTTATATCACTGTATTTCTTCGCAGCTTAAATATTATTGAATACTAGTGTGATTTATTACTTTTGCATCATCATCTTCTTCCTCTACTCATAGAAAACTGTTAACTAAGTATTGATTTGAATGAAAAACTTTATTCTATACTGTTTACAATTTGAGTCTTAGAAAGAGTAAACATATGAAAATGTTTTTCATAGTCATTTATAAAATGATGTTTGAACTTGTCTACGAAGTAAATGTGGTTGATAAAAATAGAGTTAAACAAATTTTTTGGAATTTGGAAATATCGAATTTTTGATAAGCTTGCGGCAATTTAGAAAACCTACAACGATAAATTGAGTGAAAATTTATATATTTCTGGCTATCGAATTCATTAGGCATCATATAAAATTAATATTATTTCATTCTACTCTATTTACGATATATCACGTTTCTCTCATACATTTTTTAAATGATTCATTTTGTGGCTTTGACAAACGGAAATAAAATATTAAAACGCAAAATTTTTATGCATGGAATTAAATTTTTTCCTCATTTTATCCTTCATCACAAATGTAGGCACACATTTCACTGTTTTCAAATGAAACAAAAAAAAATATAAAAAGTATTTCTCGTTGATTATTTATCCATCAACACTGATTGAAGTCTGAAAGCAAACGTGCTGTGAAATAAATTTAATTTCTTTGAACTTTTGTTAAAGTAAATTTCTCATCCCTTGATATGAGAAAAGTTTTTTGTATGTTAAAATAGAAATGAAGGGCTTCAGAAGAAATTTATTTTTCTTTTCTAGTCTCGCATTTAAGATGAAAGCTAATTTCTTTATCATTTGTTATTCGTTTGTCTAACTTTGAGTTCACTTTTTCGGCTCCTATCTTTCTTCTTTTCTACAAAAAAAAACGTTTGTTCTTTTTAGCATCTGATTTGATGAAGTTGACTTTAATCTTTGTTAATATGTCTGGTGTTTACTTACCCTTTGTTTGCTTTTCTTTATAAAGAGACTTTTTTTTTCAAAAATGATTAAAACTTTATTGAAGAATTTTTCTGCGAGAAAGGGGGAAACAGGATTGGGTGGTCACACCTTTCATTTTAAGAGAAAAAATTCTCTCGTAGATACAAACAATTTTTCAATAAATGTATTTCTTAAAATCAAATGGAATTTCAGGTCTTCTCTTTATATTTTTTCCAAGAGAATACTGCTAATGTAATCATCCACGACCCTCTTTGATTTATTTTAGTGAATTTTCTCACGTATATTTGAGAACGAACACACAAGTTTTTATAGCTATTATTCATTTCAAATCATTTATTTTTTTTAAATATATGTGATGAAAAAGTAGGTGAGGAGTGTTTTAGATACTTGGAAAAAAACTTATGATAATTTTTATACCACTCCTTTCACTTCATCTTTCGGTATGAAGTCTTTTGTTATTATGACTGTTGAAGGATCATAAAAAAATGAATGTAAAAGGAAAGTGAAAAATGTTGAATGGAATTTTCAATTATCTTTTCTCTCTCCTTCTTTCATCGGAGTCTACATCAAATAAGTCAGTGAATAGAAAATGTTGACGATGATAGAAAAATGCTGAAATTATGTGATGATATCTTTTCGTTAAGCTTGAGTTTTATATTTTGTTGTTGTCGGATTTTCTACTTCTATTATAGATTCCAAAAGTGCTTAGCGGGATGATTTAGAATGAGCTTAAAATGATCTAATTTTACTAATACGAGGTCACTCTAGGTCTTCCAAACCAAAATACGACAAAAATAAAGAAACTTCTTCATTCCTTATTTTTTTCTAATTTATGAATGGCGCTTTGAAACACTACTAAAAATTTTTTTTAATTTGAGATATTGTATAAGTAAAATAAAATTTTGATTAAAAATCCTCTGTCGATGAAATGAGTTTTTAAATTTCTTTTTTGTTTTTTTCATTAAACTAGTAATGAATGTGAATATTGAAAATAAAAATGGGGAGTAAGCAAATAAATACATAAATAATCAATGAAGTTTGTATGAAGATGTACATTAACGATCTATCATAAAGTTTTATATTTATTCAATTTTATTTTCCTAGATATAAAACGTAAAAGAATTTTCGTTTTCCAATCGTGCCGTCGATTTATGATTTATACGTTTTGTTTTTTTTTCTTTATGAATTACAATAGGTTTTTTTTAAAAACATTTCTTTAAAAGACACACTACGTGGATAAATATACCTATAAAAAGTATAGTATCGATGAACAGAGAAGTATCGATCAATAATCTATTAAAATGGGTCGATATCAAGAATAACAAATAAATATCTAAGAATAAAGAGAATTTTTTAAGTTTTATTCAGAAATTATCTTTTAATCGTAGAGCTGGAGAAGTTATGACAGGAAAAACGTAAATGTGACATTTATTCACCATAATTTCTTCTTTTATGATGATATTTTTCATTACCATTTCCTTTCATCGTTTTATGGTTAAAAATGAATATTGAAAAGAAGAGTAAAAAAAATTACTTCTATCTGCTTCAATGACAATATTGGACAATATCATCATATTATGCAATAAAATATTCTCATCAATTTTTCTTTCTCTTGCTTTGTTTATTTATTTATTTCTATTCAGCATTATTAATAGAATCCATATAATCTATATATTATTCTAGCTCTCTCATCTTTCACACTATCATTTATTATGGATATATCATACGCTTACACATACAAATTTCTCACTTGAATAATTAGATGAGAACGAAGCAGAAAATTAATTTTATTGCTATAACTAAAGAACAACGCATTTTTTTCAAAATATAAAAAGTGAAAATAAACTATATTAGTGGATATATTTAAAAATCTAGTGAGTTCATCAAAAAATCCCCTAAAGTAAAATAGCTTAAAGCTTAGGTTTCTTTTCTAAACCATAAAATAATTCAAAATCAGTCATAAAGTCAAAAATACACATTAAGAATTCATAACTCAAGAAACTGCTATAAAAGAAATTTATTCATATTTTATGTTCCAAAATTGGCATTCACACTTTCTCATTAATGACAGTATGTAATAAATACGGGTAACAAGTTTTATAGTGGGATCACATTTGGGGAAAGGAAGAAAAGATAATTTTTTTTCCAAGCTTGCAAAACCATGAAAACTTAATTATCGAAACATTTATTATGGCTGGGTCGTAAACGTTTTCGTCTTCGATTAGTAAATCAAACAATAGTTATAATAATATCGTACAATTGTTGGTAACCTTAACATTAACCATGATGATGTCATATTAAAATTCGGCGCTGTTACTGTTATTTTATACAACGTGATTAATTTACTGAATAAACAAACTACTCGCACAACTGTAAATTAAAGCCCCGATTGTGCACCACCAGAAAATTACAAACCTTTTTCAAGATTTTAAAAAAGCATAACAGTTTTATTTTGAAGGTCATAATTATGATTGTGAACATAGAAACTTATTCTAGGTTCACAGCATGGTAATAAAAATTAGAAAAGATTAGTGGATTGTTAGTAAGTTGACATTTATTACACGCTGTTAGATGTCACATGAATGCGCCAGGAAAAAGTAATGAGCAGCACTGCCAAGTTAAAAATAATTTGTTAGCTTTTGAATCTAATGAAATATAGATATTTTTTTTATCGTCAAGTACATCATTTTTTATGGAAATTTTTTTTGTATGTTTGTTGCTTTCTTATATTTTCTGACGTTACATCAATTGTTTTTTAAACTCATTATTAAAATTTTAACACAGTTAATATTAAAGAATCGATCTAATCAAAGTTAAAAAGTGTGAGTAGCGAAAAATTGCTTATAAACTTGTAGTACTAAAGTCTGAGGCAAGGATCCTAGCTCTGGCTGTTTTTTTCTTCTCGTTGTTCTCTGTTTGAAGTCGAAATTAAGATAAATTTCCATAAATTTACTCTCAAGTGGAATTTTTATTGATGTGCAAAGAAAACAAGTCTCGGATCTTTGTGGAATGCTAATAAATATTTATCAATATGAAATATGCTTTCGTGCGTATGTTTTTCATTAAAGGCATTATTTTTGGTTACATCACCTTTAAAAAATTTCTTTAAACTTTATATAATTACTCCTTTATACGCATATACTACACATTGTGAATGATGAATAGCTGGTAGAAAAATTTCCTTTAAACTTCATTTGAATTTTTAACATTCTAACGTATATTCCGCAATTTTTTGTAGGCTCGAATGGAATTTTTCGAAAAAAGGAAATTTGGTTCTGTGTGCTAAGGATGTCTGTAATGGAAAGATATCTGTCGTTTCAAATAATATATTTAACAAACTTTCTGAAAATTCCTGAAACGAAATATTTGTTTTCTGGTTATTTTAAAATATTGACTAGAAGAAAACGAAGTCGTGGAACTTTTTATGGTTTCTATCGACATTGAAATTTTTATTCTTCATTTCTCATGAATTCTTTTTTCTTCTTTAAATAACAGTGAAAAGACAAATAAAATTATATATAAAATATTTTAAGAGATTCACTCAAGTCGTAATTTTTTTTTCTCAATTTTTATCTTATATTATTTATATTTTCTTTTTTCTTGGTTGTGTCACCAGCTTCCTCCCTCAATAGAAATAAATATTTTTATACTTGTTCGGAAATGTCGTGATTTTATTATTAAATAATTAATCATTCCTTTATTTCGGTTCTAATCTTTTTTTTACGTCATTCATTCACATTCATTCTTCGGAAAGTTGATTTAACACTTTTCATTATCACAGTCCCTCGTTTGCGACATAATAAAATTTTATTTCCGTAATTTCAGAATGAAAATGGTCTTTCCTTATTATATTTTTACTTTTTCGTTTTTTACAAAAGAAAAATAATGAAAAAAAGTGGGAAGCAAATTTGAGAAAAAATAATTTAAAATCAAATAAAAAATTTCTTTCTTTTCGAGGGTTTTGATTTCAAAACTTTTTTTTGTTTTTTGTTTCTCATTCATAATTAAATCAATTCGCCATAGCCCCTAACAAATATAATTTTTTTTTTCTTCTTTAAATTTATTATATTGTTTGAAATACATACACATTACTTTTGGTAATATTATAAATCAATTTTTTTAATCATTGCAATTTTTTATTATTAACTAAGAGGGATAGATTGATTTGATTTTTCTCATAAAATATTTAATAAGTTATGATTTATGATTTAAAAGTCAAAAATTTCCAATTTAAAGTTTTACTTTCTTACACAAATTTAAAAAAAAGTAGGATAGTTGGGCTCACGATATTCAATCATGGTAAAAATTGGTTCTTTTGAAAAAGCTTTTTACCTAATGATCCGAAATAGCTGCTTCACCATTTTCGTTAGAACTTTCCTAAACTTTCACTTATTCTGTTCTACTTGAATCGTGCTCACTTAAGAAACTTCCTAAAATCTCTTAAAATTTCCTAAGTTCTAAAAATTTCCCAAAAATACCTTGAAATTTTCAGAATTTCTTGAAACTTTGAGAAAGTTTCTAAAAGTGTTGATTCCACAAATATTTAATTACCTTTAAAAGGTTCATTTTTGATTTCAAATCATTCAATTAACTTTATTAAATGCTTTAGAGAATTTTGGATTCATTCCCCTTGGATTATTAAATATTTTTATTAACTCTTATGTTTCCACGTTCACATCACTTCATTTTTTTCTGATTTATTTAATGTATATTCACTATTGTACAACTACTGAAATTTTTTTTTTCTTGCTGTATTCTGATATTAAGAAGATGGTTGATTTCATTTAATAGTGTGCTGCTCAATGATAAAATGATGAAGTTGTCTTGTCTACTTCCTTTGATGATGATTAAAAATAAAATAATACAAGTAGATGTTGGAAGTGAAAGAAAAGTTTTGTTTTCTGCCTTCTTTCTATGCTATTCTTCATTCTTCTTCCATGTATATTTTTTCTCTTCTCTTCTTCCTTTTTTTTTCTTCCTTTCATACACATTGTTTGAAAACTGTTGCTTTTCTTGCCTTTCATTATTTTTTTCTTATTGAATCTCTGTGAATGGTCTCTCGACGACTCGAAATGATAATGACAATGGTGAATAAAAAACGAAACATTTCATTCTTTTTACATGGTGTGAGACATGCCACCCTCTCAATTGGGATGATTTTTTCTTGGTTCAAAGAAGGGTGAACATCAATAATAATAACGTAATGGCATGTAAGAAAAAATATATATATATATTTTTTATGTTTTTCCTTTCCCTTTTTTCTTCTTAATGAAATTGTCACTGTGTGAGTAAAGTAAGTGCTGAATGATTTTGATGACTATGATCAAGCATAAAGTTAGCTGCTCGAGAATTTCGTCTTCATGTTTTTTTTTTTCAATAAACTCGCAAATGAAAAAGGAAAGTGATGAATTACAATTTTTCAAATTTAATCGCGGATGAATACGAATTCATTGTAGTGATTCCATCGATTTTCTTCAGAATCAACACCTGGTTTGAGATCTGTTGATGATCCAGATGTTCCAGAGCCACAGCTTCCAGCTAGTCGAAATCCGCTTTTTTGAAGATCATCAAATGCTTGTTCAATGAATGTATGCTTTAAAAAGAATCGTGAGGTATAGCGATCTGGACCGCCATGATCTGGATCACGTGACTCATTTAATGTGTCACCAAATACTTCACGACATAGAGCAACACGTCCACAGATAAGCAAACGAGATAATTTTCTGAATTTTACATCCGCTAAACCATCCTTGCCAAATTGGAAACTGCCACGATATCCGACAGTTATGCATCCTGGTGGTCGATTTTCAGTCAATTGATTTAGCGTTTTCGTCAAGCCAGCTAATCGAAAATGTTCTGCCTCTTGCTTTAAGCGCTCCTTTTCACGAAAGCCTTCGGGTAATGATATGGCAGAGTCCCTTAAATAATCCAATATGTAACGAAATAAAACACCATCACGATCGATAAAATAACGTCCTTTGGCATCTTTAATTATATCGCTTGGATTTCCTGTAAACATCTCATATAAGAGTGTATTTGGCTCACTTAGCAATGTCTTTAATTTTGTTGTATAGTGAACACCACCAACATTTAACTCAAGCATTGCTGGAAAATCACCCATGTTGATATTATATGTAAAATATATTACCGCACAATCAGTTTTGAGTTTTTCTAGATATAAAGTTTATTCTGGCTCTATTGGTGCTTGAAGTTAATACTTGAAAAGGGGTTTCCCTATTAATGTAGTGTATCCACAATTTTTTTCCTTAATTTCTTTTTATATTTTTGTATGTTTCTCTCAGAATTGCATGGCAAGTAATTCCGTTTTCTATTCACATTGACTTGCTTCTTCAGTCAGTTTGTGTATTGTACATATATTAGATCGTATATATTCACGCACACACCATCAAAATTCATGTATTCATACAATGTGCCTGTTTCTTATGTTTTTTTCCTTCTACTTTATGAATACATATGCCGATATTTTCTTCTCTTTTTCCAGTACTTTAAGTGATGGAATATAAATCTTGAATTGTTATTTGTTTAAGCGCTTTTTTCAGTGAAATATCTTTACTTTCTTATCCACCATGCAGCCATTCACTTTAACTTTATCTTATCTCTTTCTCTCTTTTCTTCTCAGTGCGTGAGAAATTTCATTTAGAAAATTTTCATTTGCTTTTTTTCTCACAAAAAAAAATGTTTTTCTTTCAATTCCACTCTAATAAATCGCATTTACTGCTCACATTGAATGAAATCAGTTAATATCAGAGTAACTCAATAGAATGATTCAGCTAATGAAATGAAATGAAATATTTTTAAGTCGTTTTTAAACTATTTTTATTATTTATTTTATATAAATTGTATTTTGTGCTCAACGGAAGGGAGCTTTTCCCAAAATTAAACTGGAAGCAAACGCGTCTTAATCGCAACTGATTTTGATGGAAGGAAAATTTTTTCATGAAGCTTTTTACATTTGATGAGTAAATTGTGCGCATGTGAGAGCCGAATTGTGTTTTGAAAATTGAGAAGTTCTCTCTTTAATACTTTTATTTTTATTTCTGCTCTTCCTCAAATTACTTTTCTTCTTTTTTCCCTTTTTGCACTCACTTTACGAAGTTGAAAGCTACAATGAGATGTTGATTTTCGGTTCCTCGATATTTAATATCTTTTTTTTCCCTTACGAATGGTACTTTGGTGTTATCAGAGTCCAAACCTTATATATTGGAAAATCGCTCTATCTATAATGAAATTTATAGAAAAGAAAAAAAGAAAATGAAGGAGTGGAGGAAAGATTCAGTGATAAAAATAAAAAGTAAAATGATGATGGGTTAAAGAGAGGATGGAGGGATATGGGATATCATTTAGAGAGGCATTTTTTCGAATATAGAAAATTCGAAAAAAAAGTTTTTTTCGTTCTTTAATATTTGCAGCTTCATCTATACTCCTTTTTCAATTATATCTATTATTTGTTTGCTTTCTGACTGCTACTGGCACTTATTTCGTAAGTAGCGACAACATACATTTATATTCTTTCACACATAACACATATTTTGTGTTCATTTTTCTTAGTGCTAAAAATTATTTTATCCTTGCTTTGCTTTTTCTCTTCGCTTTTTCTGCTGCCTATCATGCGCGCAGCATCCCAATTCGATCAATAATTTGTCGTAGGCCTCATACATTTTATTCATGAAATATACATATATTTCAAACTATTTTTTTTCTCTTCTCACTTGTCGTTGTTGTTTTTTATTCGAGATACCTAACATGTTGGCAGAAGCTTTCTCTCTCTTACTCTTTCTTTCTCACATTTATAGACCATCCTGACTGAAATAAATGTGTACGTAGTTGTTGAATATTACGCTTACGCATACGACATATGGTACGTTAATTTTTTTACGATTTATTTTATACAGCACATTAATAGAATAATGTGAATCTTAAGTTTAGAAACTTTGAAACTTAGCGAAGACAAAAAAGTTTCCTGGTTAAAAAAACTTTTCAAATTGAATTAAGATGAAAAAAAAAAAAAATAAAGCAAAGTTGGTTTTACACAGCATAGCAATAAAAGGTTTAAAGAAAATGAAAAAAACTAATGACGGTTCCGTTTAAAACAAATTAATTTAATTAAATATGTTCACGTCATAATATAATTATTTTGGCTTTAAAACGACTTTAATTATAATTAAACAGTATGGCTCACGAACTTTAAATTAGAAATCCCTTTTTTTTCTATAATTTGATGTTGCTTATCATTCAGAAGTTACTATTAATGTTTCTGAGAAGTGGCATAAAACATCATTAACCATAAATCTACCTGTTAGAGTTGAATGTCCAAAAAAAAAATAAGATTCTTGCTGTTTCTATTTAATTTCCGAGACTGTCTTTTCATCAACAGTTTTAATGTGCTAGTTATGATAATATCCAAAAATATGAAATGAAAAAAAAAAGTGAAAAAGCTTACACATGAGGTGCGGAAAGCACATTTATGAAATTGTATTAAAAGTTAACAATAAAAGCAACATATGTGCGTGTATTTGAATTTTTTTTGCCATGCTTTCTTCCTTCTAATGTCAATGGCACATAATTCAGTGCGTACATATGAAAGAATGACAAAGTTTTTTTTACATTTATGTAGATATGAAAGGCTCATATAGTAAATAAATAAAGTAAAATTTATATTTATCATACGAATATATAGCGAGGGAAGAAAGACCTTATTCTAGTTATGTGTTACTTCTTGCTTGCAATGAATCGGAAATAAATATGTTGTAAAAATGTAAAATATGCTATTCATTTATTGATTGTCACTACATTCTTCCTTTTTCTATATATTTATTGATTGTAAAGGAAGATGAATACACAATTGAAGAAAAAGAAAATAAATGAGCAGATAACAGCTACTTTGACATGAGAAACTTCAGCATCAACAGAATTGATTAAAGTATTGAGAAAAATATATAAAAAGTTGTATAATATACACGAAATAAAGAATCGAGAACATTTCGAGTGTCTCAGAGCAAATAAAATAAAATAAAAATTATACTCAACCAACCTCCCAGAACATGTATACATTTTTTTCTTTGCAATCAATTGATTTGATTCTATTTTGGTATTAAAGAAAAGAGGATTGCATTGAATTGATTACCTGATAACAGTGTCTTGCGACCTTTTCTATCAATTTCCAAATAAAAACAAAATAATTATGAGGGTGTTTGTAATATTTATTTATACGTTGAGTAGACTAAGTGCTAAAGAATGCATAAAAATGTAGTATTTTTGAATTAATTTAGGCTTTACTCAGCCTGTAAAGTAAGGTTCTATTATGGCAATTAATATATATTAACAACTTGAAACAAAAAAACGATACAAACAAAATAAGTGCCTGAAATTATCTTGTATCTGTTATTTCCCACCCAACATAATGTTCAAAAATACATTTCAAATCTTCCATCGTATGTGATGTGAAAATTATAACATAAAAAAATGATTTAGTAAGCGCAAGGAAAGATATTAAAAATACACAGAATAACAAATTACAGTATCACGTTTATTGAATCGTGACATTGGAATCGAAGTGTATGATATTATTAATACAATGTATCTCAACAATCTTAAGGAATATTGGCTTTATGTTGTGTATGAACGGGCATGTGTTAGGGTGTTACATATGAAGTTTTATTATTGGATTTTATATAAAAGAGCTCGTCTGTAATGGTCTTTTTGCCTTTTTAATAGACTGGAATTAAGTTTATGAAAAAAAAAAAATTATTAAATGTCAAAATTCGTTTTTTTATTTTTCAACAAAAGTTTAAAACCTTCATCAAGACAAATCTGACACTCTAAACCTAATCACTCATTTAAAAGTACTTATCTAATTGCACATAATTAAGAATTGATTTAAATTTTGGAATTAATTCTATTCACTCTCTGTCAGGGATAATAAATTAATGTCAACTTTCATAAATTTTAGATTTTATTACCTTGGCGATGACTTTTTTTTTGCTACCCATTGCCAATTTACACTTCATATAACCATGATGCTGCTATCAAGTTAAGTCAATGTTATGCTTTCTTCTACGCTTCTGCATAATTGAACGGAATGGAATATTACGCTAAATTGTTGTTGCTTCTCCTTTTTCTCTGTGAACCTTAATGGCTTTTCTACTTCATATATCTAATCCATAAAGCCCATATTTGCGATACATAAGAAAAAAATAGAAATAAAATGTAGATGTATGAGTTTTACTACACGTATGTGCTTTTGCTTTAAAGTTAAAGCTAAAAGGATTTTTTTTGTGTGCTCTTTATTGATGATGACTTGAGAAACTTAATTATGCAAAAGAATGGAAGAGATGATGTTGGTGATGGGGATAATGTATTTATTCATGGGAGAATGGAAGAAATAAAATTTAAAAATAATTTTATGTGTGTAAGAAATGGAAGTTTTAAAACGGATTTGATCTTTTGTATAATTCATCAAATTTGACTAACCGTAGTGTGTGTTTATGTGTTGTGTTTTGGACGTTTGCATTTTTCTCATCTTTTGAATTGTAGATAAATTTTCCTTTTGCGTAGAATCTTGAGCCATGTCTAAACAGACAAAAATGTTTTTATCTTAACAGTGAAGTTATAAAGTTCTGCCAGATCTAAAGCTGTGTTTTAAGAAAATCTGTTGTATATTGATATTCTTTAACCGATGATTAATCTTTTAAAAAAATCTACAGTCTCTTATTTTAATTAAGGAAATCTTGCACTGTGGCTCTTTCTATAGAATCTAATTAAAAGATGGTACTTTTGTACACCTATTTCGAATACCCCAAGAAGTTTATATTTGAATTCTGTTAGATTTTACTGCAAAGGTCTAAGTCTAAGCAGTGTGATGTAAATAAGTTGAATTGTACTGCTTTTATGCTTTCCTCTTTTATAAGATAATAAGGTCCAAGATTCAAATTATGCTAATGTTCTCGTAACCTTATTCGCATTTACTATATGCTCTGCTATCGCCATGAAATTGTACAGAAATGCTAATGATACTGCAGCATTTCTAGACATAAATGAAATACCGTTCTGCTTTTAACATCATTTCAGTTGCTTTTACACAAAAAGCAGAATATAAAATGCAGATGATAGCAACTCATTACGCCTTCACATTTACTATTCTTCAGAATAAGTTGAAAAAACATTAAACTAAAATGAAATCCTTCCTTGCTTTTCTGACTTGCTAAGATAAATATAATAAAAAGGAGGAAGTTGATAGTGGATAATATGCATGCCGTTATCATGATTTTTTATGTACATTACCTCGTTTAACCATTTTCTTTTTGACATTAAAGTTATTAAGACTCATATCCGTTTTGAAGGAAATTGTGATTTTTTTGCTATTGCTGTTGCAATTTACTGAACTATGCTCATTGTTAAACCCTTAAGATATACCAGCCACAAAGGAAATAATGTCTAATTTCTAATGCATGAATTCAATCTATATTGAAAACTTTCATTAGTTTGTAAATGGATACTTTTTGCGAACTAATGATTTCCGTAAAGTCATTATACTTCATCATATTACATTTTTTCCTCAATCCATCCATATTTGAATTTGTTTCCTTTTTCAAATGCAACTTAAAAACGAAAATATATGCTTGAAGGTCATTTCATTTTTACATGAAAGCTATTCCTCCGAATTTCAAAAAGAGATGATTTTAGATCAAAAAAAGTTTTAAATTAATTATTTGCAAGCTGGTCCATTTTTTGATATAAAATCAATAGTTAATTATGCGAGATATTTTAAACTTTTTTTAAAGCTAATTCGTGAGTTTATTTGAAAAATTGTTATTTGCTGTAAAATCTCGAGTAAACTTCTTTACCAGGTCATATAAATAAGAAACACAAATTTATAAAAAAAATATAAAAAGTTAAACAGAAGTCTGAACAATCTTAATAAATTTTTCTTTTTAAAGTTCGAAGAATTTAAGAAGTCAGAAACATTTAAAAATCAAAAAAATCTAAAATTCTATGAAATTTTAACAAATTCAACTTGAAATGATTTTTGCAGTGATATAAGCAAGAAAACTTACATAAAAGCACAAGAAATTTCTTTCCCCTCCCCCCACCTTGCTAACATATAAATCGATTTGTTCCTAACATTACTTGACTTCTATAAATTCTCCTTATGCCTTTCAACTGTCTGTCGATGCCCAATGACATGAAAAAAGTTTTCTTCCCTCTCTCATTTCTTTATTCATGATGAATATTTTTTTCCATGGTACTCTTTTGAGACACATTTTGTCTCGACATTCAAGAAGGCAAAACAAAAGAAGAATGAAAGATCGAAGGAAAAAATTTCCATCATATTTTCTTCGGCAATCATGTTCTTGTCACAGAGAGATAAAGAAACAGAATAAATAAAAAGGGAATTGATTTAAATTTTTAGCGATCTAATCTCAATGATGTGTCCATGAAAAATGATGATGGATAAACTTTCTTGTCACATAAGTGTAATAAAAAAAAGACCCATGAAAAAAATCTACATCCATTAAATCAATGAATAAATTTTTGGCTAAAGAGTTTCAAGGGCTCATAAATTTTATATTTTAAAGGAAAGACAAATTTAAGCTTTACATACATCATATTATAAATGCTATGTTTTATTCTTATGACGAAGAAATTTCAACAAGTTTAAAGAAATTTGGCAAACGGAATTAAAAAATATAACACAAAATATCACAAGATTTACTTTTTCTACTGATTGCTAAATGATTCATGAAAATTCTTCTTGGATTCAAAGTCCATGAAGCACAAAATCCGTCTGAAAAATTCAGCTTTTCACCCCTGCTTTATTTTCTAAAGTATCGCAGTATTTAATTAATTAGTTTTTAAGTACAACAAATTAAATATTTTTACCTGTAAAAACTGTAATGCTGCGTGAATGAGTTTTTGTCAGGCACAAAAGTTTTCCAACATAAATACATGTCAAAAAGTTTTAAATCATCTCTTTAACAAAATCTTTTGTTTCCAATTAAAGCTTCTCTTGTACTTGTTATTAAAATCAACCCAAAAGTTTCGATATGATATATGAAATTTTAAACAATGAATATTTCATCATATGATAAACAGAAGAGTCAGAAAGTACTCAGAGGACGAAGAATACGAAAGCAGCCATATGTTCCATAGTTTTTTTATATCAATGGCCATGTAAACAAAAAAGTTTGCGGTTTTTGGTTAAAATGTCTATATATATAAACATTGTTGCATATGCCCAGTCGTCAATGCGTTATACACAATAAGTAATCTTGTCTCTTACATATTGACGTTTATACATACAATTATTGACATTTAAAAAATAAAAGACTAGATAAAAGTTCATTGAGGATACAAAGGAAAAAAAAAAGAAGTAAAAACTTAATTAAACCTTTTGAAATCAGATCATTTCATGCTGGTATATAACTTCAAATAAAACCTCTTCACTTTCTTTCTTTGATTTTGGAATATTTTTCATGACTTTAAGCTTTTTTTATTTAGTATATAAAATTTGTCAAAACTTTTTCTCATTCATCGTCAGTATGGTACTTTAATTTCTATCCTCTCTTAGATATTTTCATGCTTTGCCAATTTCTCGTTCATTTTCACGCCATTAAACACTATAGCTCGAGCCCCTCAGTTTCATTGATAATTTATGATTAAATATTTAAGTGTAGTAAAACAATCTGAATCTTCCTGCGTACAACAAGATTTATTGCTACGAGTTAACGTTTCAATGTTTTGTCAAAAAACTAATATTATGGGTTATTTGAATTTATTAAAAAGTCCATCGAATTTTTGATATTTGTGCGAATATGGAATTTTAAATGCGCCATAAAGACCGACTCACTAGTTCACATACTTCCATTTCCAATTTTCAGCTTCATTCCTCAAAAAGCAAAGCACAGATCGAGAGAATATTTAAAGAAGAGACAGAAAAATCCTAGACATGTAAACATGCATAAAGGGGATTCACATATAATTTATTGTATTTTTTTTACTGTACGAAACCCAATGCTTTGCTCCCATTTTTAACACATATATGTATAATAGAGAGAAAATATTTAAGTGAGCGTAAAAAGTGAAATGCCTTTTTATGTATACAGCAAAGATGTAGGCATTAAAAAATGCGTGGTGAGTCTAAATAACTGCAGAGCTTTATAAATTTATATAATCAGCAAAATGTTTATGTAAATAAAAATTGAACCATACGAAAAGAGTGTAAACGCTTTTGAAATTCAGAGAAATCTCATTTCGTATTTTTCAAATTTTTTAGAATAAATAAGCTTTAAATTAAGTTGAGTGAAATAAATTTTCTAAGTGTATGAATAAGACTATGTTGGAGATATTTTTGCAAATTAAATCCTTAACATAAAATGAAGCAATTTGAAAATTCTTTTCAATGTATTTCATGATGAGTCGTAAAAACAAACGAAAAATGTTTTAATATGCAGAGTGTCACATAAAAGCACAACGAATCGCAACATATAATTTAGAATTCAAAAACCTTTTACTTTATGTAGATAGCCCTTTAATTCTGTTATTTAATCACATTCTAATGGCAACAACAAATGTTTATATGTGGTTTCTTATCAAATGAACAAAAGACTTTATAATTTTATTTCTTTTTTATTTTCTCTTTCTCGGTGGCTGTCTTTGATACAAAAAATATGATAAATTTAATATGCTCGCACTTGTTCTGTCTCTGTCCAATGGAAATCAAATTGTTTTCAATCATACTTTTCCTGTCTCATATTATGTTCTTTTGCCTCTTGAAGCTATGATCTTGCCTCGAATCCCAAAATCAATCGGAATAATAGGATCTGTACTTGCATTTCGTTTGATATCGACATCTAGGTAAGTGCTTTTTTGTGTCATATCCGAAAGTATATTTCAAGCATGTAAATGTCAATAGATAGACCCACTGAGAAATGTATTCATAGATTTTTTTAATAGTATTGTTTCATGCAATTGAGTCATACTGAATGTTTGTGAATATAATTTTGTATCATATCATCTCGAGAAAAAATTCTGTCTTTATTTTTCTTTATGTATGATAGTGCATGCTATAATTTAATACAACATGAGTGATGATATAATCTACAAAAAAAAATTTTTTATATTTTGTTAGCCCCTTATGTCTACACATTGATCTCAAGATTATCTCGTTTGTAGGGATAAAATAATACTTTTCCAATTAGCATAATTTATTGAAATAGTTTCATTGCTTGTTGTTTTGAAACTTTTTAATATTTATTACAATATATTAAGTTTCAAACGTGACAACTCGTTATTTTAATAGAGGAACAAAAAATAGAGTTTATGATATGATGATCAAATTTTTCATAAGGGATTTTTTCGATGCTTAAAATACAACCTAGCTGTGTATTTTTTTAAAATCCCAAAGATCGTTTGATACACTTAACATTAATCATTTGATATTTTCTTTTTGGAAAGTCTTGAAAATAAATGTTTAAGACAGGGAAGATAACTTATTAAATTTTAAAAAACTTAAGTACATATCATAAATTAGAAATACATAAGTACTTCTATTTCTACCAAAAATTCATCCACAACAAATTGTTTTTGTATTTTGGAAAGTCAAAGCTTCTTTCCATCTTAAACCACAAAATACTCATAAAATAAATAAAATCGATACCAATAACTATCTTCATAACTCCTTCCTATTAATATATAGATGGTAATTTTTCACCGACTAATGTTACCCCTTCGGCACGTCGATTTCGTTTTCTTCTTTATTTTTGGGAAATTTATGAGCTTGAAATTATTTTTGGCTTCTTTCTTTTTGCTTCTTACTTCATTTTTCATTATATCATTCATCCGTTTTACCCTATATCAATAAATGTATTGTATCATGCCTACGTTTGTAGAAATGTACAATTCAGAAATCGTTAGAAGATTATTATCATGAAAATGAATGTGAATGGTCATTTTTTATCTTTCCGCATTCAATCGTAGCCAATTCATCATCATTCATTACATTTATAACGACCGCTCTATACATTGTACTATAACTAGATGTACGTACATATGTATGTGATTTCACCTGTATGTAGAACTACCCATATGCGTAGCATATGTGGTTTTATGCATGTTTTATGCAGATTAATTTTAACAATATGCAATGTGTGAAATGAACAAGTTTTTGCCCTTGTTTGTCAATTAACATGAAGTTGATTTATTCCTCAAGTGATAATATGCGAAATGTTTGCATAATCAGTTTTGCTTACTGATAAGTTTCGGTTTCTCGTTTTATTTGGAATTTCGCATGTATCAACATATATCTCAGTTTTATGAAGCATTTATCATCAGAATTTAATATAGACGAGGATCCTAGAACAGTGGAGTTATTTAAAAAAATTTACACTTGTATAAGAATCTACAAAAATTATAGCTTTCAAAAATAATAAATAAATGTATTTGAATCTTGTGTCAAATTAATGTGAGGTTCATAACACTTTTTCTGGATGATCTTATAACGAATTATTATTTAATCTAGTTTAAAGTTAAAGAAAAAAGGCTGTCAATTTATCTGAGTTTCTTATTGACTAAAAATTCAACAATTTAAAAAATTATGATCAAATTAAAATCACATTTTCATAGAACATCTGATACATGCCTTGATGCCAATAAAAATCACTCATGAGATAAAAATTGTTGAATGAACAATATTTAAAATATCATTTTTCATACTAAAAAACGTCTCAACGATCATTCGAATCAGCTCGTTAAGTTTGTAAATGCTTTTTATTCTATTTGTACAGCTATTCACATATATTACATTTGTTATGCTGGATTTTTTTTTTTTGTAAATTCTTTACTTTTTTCTCTTTGCCGTATCCTTTTTGATGAACTCAAATATTGAGTCAAGTTTAACATTCAATGAAGATTTTCTCTCTTTGATCTAAAATAAAAATTTTATTCCTTGTCCCCAAGTCTTTATATTATAATATGTTTATTAGATTTATTTTAAAGATTTTATTTTTCTCTTAATTTATCTTAGACGTTAATTAAGTTCAACAGACTGAATTTTATTCTTATGATCCTATTGCGAATTGTAAGAAATATTCTTTAATACTAGTAGATATCAAGTTTAACTTTAATTCCTAGAAAACATTAAACTACAGTTGGCTAATGACACAACCAGTTGGTAACTGTCATATTCTTTGTCAGATTATAACGAATCCAAATAAAATTCTTTGTTTACAATATAAGTTTTATCACAATACATAGATGTCATAAAAATGAAAAAGAAAGATGCTTCCATATCATTTTGTCAAGGATAAATGTATAAAAAAAAATAAGAGTCAATCAGAAAATGTCAAATATTTGTTGAGTTTTTCTTCCAGCTTGCAATGTCTTTGGCATTCTTTCTCTTATTCTCTTTCCATCTGTCTTTAACTTTATTTTCTCGACTCTTAGAATCAATTACTTAAAATATATATGTATACAGAAATAAGAAAAAAGGAAAGAAATATTCTCTAGTGACTGATAGAAGTAAAGTACTGTTTGAATTAGACTTTTTTCTTTCTTCTTCCTTTATTTTCTTCCATTTCCTTCAATAGTCTCAGCCGATAATAAAATGAAGACAAAAAATAAATGTTGAGTAAAATTTCGTCTTGAGACTTAATTCGTTTCATTGTAAAGTTTATCTGACAAATGCTGTGTAATTTTCTAGGACTTTCCATAATCATCCATGTTTTGTTTCTATGTTTTATTTTTTATTTTCGTTTTCAGTTCAATAACTTTGTTTTCTATATCAACTGTCATTTGTTTGCCATTGTGAACTTATAGATTAACTAAGATTATTTGATATTTTGTTATAATTAACTCTGAAAATATTTAGAATGGATGAATAGACGCGATAATGAGAAAATTAACTGTCATGTTCTGTTTTGTTGCCATACCCTTGTTTAGTATTTAATACTATGGACGGATAGTGTTGAGAATGTAATTTTTGTCGATATTATGTTGAACAAAATTTTAATTTTAGCTCCTTTTTCCCTTTTTGGTCAGAAATTATTAAGTTCGTAAAGTTAATTTTTGAATCAACAGATTCTTTGTGGATAAACATATTTATAATCTTTGTTGCATGACTTACTAATTGTTTGTTAAAAAACAATTTATTATAACAAAAGGCTCCATTCCAAGTTCAAACGAATCCTTTATTACTCTTTTTGTTTTCACTGCCAAGATTCTTTGGTACAAAGGATGAATAACTAAGCTTTCTTTTACTGTTTTCAAACTTTTGATTTCTCAAAATTTGAGTGTTAAATTGTGGAAAATGGAGATTTCACATTTTCTTGACCGTACGTGACGTAGAAAGCATCTTATGGTATAAAAAAAGTATTGTGATATAATTGTGTTAAGTTTTTCATTGAATTTGCTGAACACAAAGCTCGTCACGTATTTTTATTTTTGGTGAATAAAATATTGTACTAGGAATGTGAAGGCTTAAAATTAATTTTGGAATAATAATAGATTTAGTTAAAAGATTTCTTGAGTTTATTGATTTCATATCATTTCCACGCTTAGTGGAATCTCTATTCAATTGATCTGATTTTCTAAAACAACTTGAGGGTGTTTAATGTCGTTGTTGGCAAAGCTTTTCTGTTATCTTATTTTCAATCGCTGGTTTCTATTCATGTTGACTTAGAATATATATATTTCAAAATGTTCATTAAGTGAAAATTCGCAGATTTTATCCCAGATGTAAGCATTTGAACCATAGCAAATGAAATAATGCTTCAATTTAATCAAAAGATCTCAAATTTATGCTTTTGTAAAATTGAGTTTCACTTCCGTGTCAAAATCCATTTTGAACTTTTTTCATTCCGATAAACTTTTTGTTCTCGTTTTGAATCAACTCGTGACAACTTACAAAAAGATAAAAATTCGTTCTTATTTTTACATTTTCATTCTCCATTCTCTCAGCGAGTCTCATTTTGATTTATTCAAAAAGTTCAAAGATATTTTTTTTCCTTTTCTTATCTTGAAATAAATCAACACTTGACACAGAAAGTGAAGCAAAGAAATAGATATTTTCTTTTGTTATAAAAACGTGCCAAAAAAGGAAATTCAAAAAAAAAAATCAAAATCTTTTATCCTAACCACCTGTTTCCAATTTGTTCTTAAAAATAATATAATATAATGAGGATGATGAGCATATGTAAAAATAAATGCGTAATGTTATGATGAAATTGGAACCAAAGCTCTTTTCTTTTGCCTTGTTTTTTCCCTTTAATTCCATATCCGTTCTCTTATTTTTATGAAGATTGATAGACAAAACTTAATAAGTATTCATTTCATTCCCATCCTCATTTGTTTTGAGTTTCTCTCATTTTCCATTCTTTTCCTTAACAAACGCTGATTGATTTATGATTCTAGAGTGAACAAGCTTCACTTTCATCGTTCATGTTTATCAGTGGTTCTCATTCTGTGTGCTACGGTGCACTGGTTTAGCTTTTTTAAAACTCTATAATAAATATAAAAAACAGAAGTCAAATTCAGCCAAAAATGTTGTAATTGTGTCGAAGAACCAAGTCATGATGTTTACAGTCAGGAAATAGAAGAAGTAAATTTAAAACAAGACGATGAAAAAGAAGAAAAGATTATGGTTATGAAAGATAGAAATAGAAACAGCAACAATCATAAAAGTGTCGAAAAAAAAGTAAGATAATATGAAAAATAAGGAAAAGTCGTAAAAAGGAGAAATTTTACTGCGAAAAATGTTTTCTGCTTGTTGTGCATTTTTCTTTAAATTTATGTTTTTAAATGCTGAGTGGGCTGAATAAAAAAAATCTTTAAATGAAATTCCTTCTGAAAGGTTTCGGGAGGATCATGAAGACAATTGCGATTTATTTGTATAGTTGATTGCATTATTGCTATTTCAAAACAATGGGTAAAGTAGGTTTAACGAAAAAGTTTTGTGTGTATGATGATGTTCTACTATTTTACAACTTAATTTTGACACTCATCAAAAGTCTCTGATAAGAACGAATATAAATTTTCTCAATAAATTTGTAATCTTAAGAATTAACTGGAAATGTTTTTAAATTTGTACTGCACGATAGATAGAAAAAACTAATTTAAAAGAAAGTAATACAAAGTTTAGAGCACTTCTCAAGCTGAGAACAGAAAAAAAAAGTGACAGCAAAGAATACTGAACGTTAATGAAAGAAATAAAATTGCAGGAAGTTTCTGGTTTTATGATTGTCTGTTGCATTTTCTATACAAATATAATTTGCATTTGCATCTTCCTTCGTCATTGCAGTCATCTATACTTTTATGTACTCTTGATCTGACACAAAAGTGTACTTATTTACAAAAAATCGTGATCACATTAAATTATGAGCGAACAATGAGTATAATTTAAAAGAGATTTTCTATTCTTAGTTAAAGAAAAAAGCACACGAAAAAAAAATCCTCATCTCATTGAAATTCAAGATAAAAAGTTTTCTCTTTCTTTTTTCTCAATATCGTATCATTAAATCTTCTCTTTTCTTTTCTTCTATCTCCTATAGTGTAATGGCTTGTTCAGCAAATCAAGGAAATCCCGAGACTGCTCAATCAGTCTATGAATTTTCCGTCAATGACATTAAGGGTGAACCAGTAAGTTTGGAGAAATATCGAGGTCATGTTCTGATTATCGTTAATGTAGCATCGAAGTGTGGTTACACAGCTAAGCATTATGCTGAATTGAATGAAATTTACGATCAATATGCTGAATCGAAAGGTAAGTTTCACCTGCAAAAGTGCTTTCAACTAATTTATTAAAATGATAACAATTCTTTACGTTATTTTATGACTTTTATTTCTGAAAATTTTCTAACTTTAAATTTCATTTGCATATGATGCAACCCTTAGATAGAAATTCCACTCTTTCTTTTATTATTTTACACTTTTTTCTGTCATAAAACTTTACAACACAAACTCATGTACTCAAAATTAAATTAGAATGAAAATGAAAAAGCATAGAAAGTAGGGAGATAGAAGCTGATAGAAACAATAAAGAAATTTCATTTGCAAGAGAAAGGTTAGGGAAGATAGATGAAGTTTCTCTAATTTAATCTGATAATTATGCAGAAATGGAATGTGAGGAAAGTTTAGATGCACTTCGAGCAAAGATGTTAACATTCTTTGTCTCCGAAAAAAAAATATTTGGATTGCATAAGGAAGATTTGAATTTTTAAAACTTAATTGGAATGAAATTCAATGCAAAATTTCACCTACTATATTTAAAATTTTTGTTTTAATCAGTAAAGTTAAAAATTCAAAAATAATTTATCAGAATTTTACTGTAAATTTTTCCTTTAAGGCGATAAATTCAAAAAAGAATCTATATGTGCACTTTACTACACTGGTTGATTACCATTTGTAATTATTATTATTTTCTGTGTGTTCCTAAAAGAGCGAATAAACTAATCCATTTATCTCCACTTTAGGCGTTTAATAAACCATTAACTAGATCTTGTTAATGTTTAGATAGTTTAACATATTTTACTCGAATTTCAATGTTTTTCAATGTGATTATGATTATTTTGGATCAGTAGTTTTCATCTGTTGCATGCTGCTGAAAGTTTGTCTATATTATCTATAAATAGTTTCATTCATTTTATGGACAAATGATTCTTTGTTTCAAATAACTTAATTATAAGTTTTATTGCTTTTAAAACGAAATTAGGTACCTTTTTTAAAATTCAATTATTCTTTATTTTTAAATTTTAAAAGTTCTGTCAAAACTCAAATCTCTGTTATTTTAATAATAAAAATGTTAAAAGACCTTTCTCATTTTAAATGACTTGAATTTCAACTTAAATTCATCAATGTCAAAACCTCTTCAACAGTTTTAATCTTCCTTCTTTATTTAAATTAAATTTCCTTTCAATGTCAGCTTTTAAAGAATTTACAATATTTTTTTGATTCTTTTTTGTTTCCGTCATTTTTATGAATTTTTTGCCTCGAAATTAAATTCTTAAAGGAAAATTGTTTTTTGCTCTCTTTATAAATTTCATGTCAGCAAAAGAAAAAGTAGAAATTTTCTAATACAATATTCATGTATGTCGTAATATTCCATTCATTATAAAAATTCCTTACGGTACAAAAAACAGAAAAGCTCTTTTTCTGTCTGTCTTTTGTTTTTTAAGAAGCATTTGACATTTACTGTAACAATAATATGAGATGAAACAGATTACATTAGAAATAAAAATTTCCTGACTTTATTTAATTAAGGAAGAGATTTTTGGAGCCTTATAAACACAAAAAGAGTTATAAGATAATTTCCATGCGCGTGAAACGGAATTTTTAGGTCTAATAAGCATGAAAAGAAGACAAGGAAAATTTTTAACAGCTTTCGTTATCATTCTTGTATGATAATCGCATTATAACCCATAACCTTACATGTTTTCACTTTAAAATGATGAAATATTCAGTAAACGTATGTAAATCTTTTTGATGAATTTTCATCATATTGAAAAAATTTCCTTGTTTACCTCGTTCTTCGTTAGAATTGAAAAAGATGAAAAGCGAAACAAGAAACGGATAGAAAGTATGAGCGACATTACCAAAAAAGATGCGGGGATTGTTTTAGATTGAATATTTATTTCAATATCTCTGTTTTCATCAAGGTATAAGTATGAACTTTAGTTTGATTACTGAGTTAACAGTTGAACTTTTAAAACTGAGCATAAAAATAGCCTTTTTACATCATTAAGTCTTCATAATTAATCTACGTCGGTAGTTACATTTTGTATCGATTTTTGCATACACTTGAATCTTTTTAGAACAATAATTTTTTTCTGATTTAACCCATACATAATGAAATATTGCGCGAGGATAAACATTTACGTCATATTTTATTGAAACAAAGAAAATGGGTCTAATTTAATGACGGCATTTGGATAGACCAGCTTGTGTCCATTTTTGTAGTTTTTCATTCAGCAGCTTAACCAAAAGAATTTTGTTTTTTGATCTATAAAACACAAACAGCACATTTGATACGAGAAACACGGGTGCTCATAAGTGAAACTTAAAACGAGAGTAAAATATAAAATTATTAAAAGTACTTCTTTTGCCTTAAACTCAAACAAAAGTAATTTAATATTTATGCGTTGAATATTTAATTAAATTAAATTAAAGTTTTATCAAACAAAAAAGTTTTATAACGGTCCCCCCTCCCCTCTCCCCTTCATTTATGTCTGAGATGTGCTTTTTAATTCCTTATCATTTTTCATTCCCGAAATATTTATGTTTTTGTCAGCCATTTTATACAACATCAGCAATAATGATTAAGACAAAAAAATTTAAAATTTGATTAGCTTATATCTGGGTTGAAGCACATTTTACTACAAGGGAGAGTATTTGCTTCGGTCCCTGCAACTTTAATCTTTTGGATAGATTTCTAAAAACTGTATCAGAATTTTTTAAAATTTCTAGACTTAATTTTGATCTATCAAAACCAAAATGTGATTAATTGTCCATAAAAATTCGCTAAAACTCATGAATCAAAAAGCATTTTTATGATGCCCTAAAATCATATCATAGAATCAAGAAGAATGAAAATGAGAAATTTAAGAACAAGTGCTTGATAAACAGTAAAGTTATTGGGGAAAAAATACAATCAAATGATATAAATCACCAATGTCATCAACGGTAGCGGTGTTATCAGTTTGTATATAGAAAATTTCTCCCAATTTATCTTGAACGTGTCTACGCGTTTATGATGTTCATTTGTACAAGACATAAAAAAGTGAAGTTTACTTAATTTTCTTGCCGAAGTGATAGATAAAGGAGATGTTGACATACTCGTTCATATATAAAAACATTATGATGGTGTACCATCGAGATATGTACATGTGATCATATCGTTCATATCTCTGCTGCTTTTATAGCAATACTTTCGGCGTCTTCTTTATTTCCTCTTCTCGACTGTCGTTTTAATGTCATTGCTTACGTTTAAATTAAATTCTTGTTAAATGACAAAAGGTTTTTTCTTCTCTTTTTTCACTTCATCCACATGATGAATTTTCCTTTTGAAATTTTAAAGCTTTTTTTTTTGTTCTCATTTTCGAGATGATCTTAATTCCTTTTGTGAGATTTCTTTTCATGGTATTTTATTTTATTAAGAACAATGAATCCTCTGGAACCTTCATAAAAGAGTCAGAAAAAAATTTCAACTCAAATGACTTATGGGTTGACTTTTTATTATGAAGCGTGATTTGATGATGAATGTGTGGATTGCTGCTAGATTGAAATTTAGAGAAACTATGTTGCGGCCTTCAAGATTATTAGAAAATTCTAGAAAAGAACAAGTTTCAAATTCGTTTAATCATACGAAATGAGTATATTACAATCATAAAATCCATTATCACATCCTTGAATTCCAATCCTTTCAAAATAAATATAAAAATGAAAACTTTTTTCATAAAAATGTTAATAATTTAAAGTTTTTGGAATTGACATGTTGAAACTTTTAATCAAGAGCTTAATATGTTGGTTTAACCCGACACTTAAATTCATCTATCTTCATTGTGGTTTTAATGTCCAAATTCTTTAATTATTTATAAAAAAGAGTATTTTTCACAAAACTGTGTGGGTTTTGAATAATTTTACATGACATAAATTCTCAAGAATGGCAATTTTTTTTATAAATTATTTAAAATTCTAATCTTCAAGTACCCCAAACGAATTTCAATTTTATGCTGAGCTCCAATTTTTCACAAATCTTTGGGTTTTCTATTATTAAATTTATGACCGTAATGCTGAATTTGTCCTCATAATTCGATAAAAATTATCTGATAAGAAAAAACCTTCAAAAATATTTTTCTTCAATTTTTTTTGTTCCTTTTTTTCTAATTCTCGAAATATGAACAAGATAAAGTGTAATTTCATTTGGCATGAACCAAATTCAATTTGATTTATGGAAATTCTTCTTATTTCACGTTTCATATCATTATGTCTATTTCATTTTATGAGAAATGCTGAAAAGCTTTAAGTAAAATTTAACTTTGTAATTTATTATTATCAATTGACATTTATTGCATTACTTTTTGTTGTTGAAATATTATTGAATAAGCTTGTTCACTTCCTTGAAGATTGCACTTTTAAAAGGCTGAGAGGATTTTTGGGGGTTGATTATGATTAAGAACATTAAATTATAGTATTTTTAACTAGATTTGAAGACTTAATTCATAATACCTACCAGACATTTTTCGATGAATAGGAGGTTGTGGGGCCTGATTTTAAAAGTAAATTTAAGTAGAGGGGGAGCATAAATTATCCTGTACAAGTTTAACTCTGATGTTTTTTAATCTGATGATTTCAAACCACTTGATATCACAATTGGTATCTTAAAATTTTTAAAAGCAATCAAAATACAGTATAAAAGTATACAGTACCTCATCATCATATAACTCATTTTCTTCAATAATTCCCGCTCATCAATCAGCACGATTAAATGTATCATTATTTATATATTTTCAACATTTTAGTTTCGTTTTAACTGTATTTGCTAATTAATTTTTTATGCTTTCACAGTATGTTTGCTTTTTATTTGTTTCCGTGATGACGCTTGAAAGTTTTTTCTGCTTTTGTGTTTACGATTTTGAATGTTTTATGTTCTTCACAGTTGTTGAAAAATCTTCAAATGTCTCTTGAATTTTTTCTTTATTTTCTTTTCAACAGGCTTGAGAATCCTGGCCTTTCCATGCAATCAATTCAATAACCAAGAACCGGGAAATTCCGAAGAAATTCAATGTTTCCTCAAGGATCGCAAAGTAAAATTCGATCTTTTTGAGAAAATTGATGTTAATGGAAAGGATGCACATCCATTATATAAATATTTGAAGAAGGAACAAGGCGGAACTTTAATCGATGCCATCAAGTGGAACTTCACAAAGTTCGTTGTTGATAAGGATGGAAAACCAGTCGGTCGACATTCACCAAATACTTCACCAAAAGAGATGTTAAAAGATGTTGAAAAATATTTTTAAAATCTTCATATATGCAAAAATATTGTAGGGGAATTTGAACAGCAATCAGAATAATTTTCGTGTAGAATTTTCATATTTTATATATATTGTAACCCAGTAGATGTGAAAATGACGATTTAACATGCTAAAATATATTCCATGTGCTTTATTCAAAGGATTTTTATTTTATTTCTTAAGGAGTTTTCTACGTTGCTTGTTGAGGGCGTAGGAGCATGGGACCCACGGAATATTCCACGAGATAATTTTGAGGAATTTTGTTCTGCAGAAATTTACAAAACTTAACCATTTGAAGCTTAGAATCTAAATAGAATATTCCTGCAACCTTTACAATAATTATTAAAGTTTCATTAGACTCCAAAATTTGAACTTTTCAGCTCAAAAACTCAACTTTTTGAAGGTTAGAATATAAATTGAATATTACTGCAACCTTTGCAATCGTACAAGAAAGTGCCGCGTAATATTCCACCGGTTCCATGCACTTCACTCTTGATGTACACTTTGTTGAGTTGTGGGACTTTTGACTATTCCGTGAGAAAAAAAAACTCTTGACGAGGAAAAAGTTTTGATGGAAAATTTGCAATAACTTTTGCTTCATGCTGAATAAAGTTTTGTGCCAAGCAGAATCTTACTCTTTACTCTTTCTTTTGATGTTTGTAACTTCTAAGGGATGAAATTTTTGAAATATAGTCTGAATATTAATTTTGATAAAACGATACTTTACTTACTTTTCAAAAAATATCACATGACAGATTCAGACCTGTCTATTTCTTTAAATTTTTAATGTCAGAAGTTGAAATAATGGAAGTATTTTAAAAACAATTGTACCCTTTAAGCAACTGAAAATATTCTTTCTAATCCACTGTCCTTTGCACACTTATAATCTTCAGATCATTTCAAAATACTTTATAAACAAGTTTGAAAAACAAATTTTGAGGAAATTTATTATAAAGCATTTTTACTCACTTTATGCCGTACTTTTCACCAATAATTTTGAAATGTTTATGAATTTGAATAAAAAATAAATAAAAGAAATTTTCTCGTTTCATTCTTCATCATCTTAGAACAGCAGAAAAATTTACTGTATTTTTGTGAGTTAATATTTTTTGATGTTTGTGAACATAAACTGCATCTTTGTTGCTGGCAAACTTTTATGCTGGGAAAAAATTGTGGGAGCAATAAACTTAATTGCTATGTTTACGGAAAATTTGCAAGAAGCTAAATTTATGCTTTAATAAACTCGGATTTTCCTCGGAAGATTAAAAGTTCGTTAAATTTAAGTGCTAAATGCTGGACGAAAACTGCTGAAGTTTTAGGGAATTTTTGAACTTTTTTCTTATTAGCTTTGAATTGGAAATGCTGTGAAACTGTAACAAATCACATCATAAAGCCTTAATTCTACTCGAGAGATCAAATTGTCTCAAAAAATCTAAAATGCTGAGTGCTTGAATTTTTTATCTGTCTCAAAATTCAATGTTCAAGTCATTTAATCCTCAATCTAAAACACTCACTTAATCCACTCAAATGAACACATCTTCAGCATTGTAAATCCATTTATTAACCTCAAAATCGCATTACATCCCAACATACTCTTTAAATTTTTCTCGAAGTTTGCATGTTTGTATTAAAGTACGTAAAAATTCGTCGATGCTTATCGATTTTCGCTTATCAAAAAGCTTATGCCTTCAAAAAATTGGTAAACTTTTTCAAGTGCTTCGGTACCTTGAATATCAATAAAAAAAAAGAATAAAAAGAAAATTATTTGGCTTCAATGAAAAGCAATTGAACCAAGAAAGAGAGGTAAGAAGTAGAAAAGTTCCCATTGAATGTTTTTTCCCGAGCGGCACAAAGGCTCCATTTTCCTTCCATATGGAAGCTATACGGAGCCTCCATGTTCCACCCTCCATTTGAAAATCTTCCGAAAACCTTACTATCATGGAACTTTGACGGAGCCAAAGCTCCGAAAATCCTCCGTGGGACGTGCATTTATTAACACCAAATGGAAGTCATTTGAGAGGTTTTGATGGAGGATGGAGGATCCATTTGTGGTAGTCAAACGGAGGTTTAATGGAAGTATTTTTCAAAGGATTTTTGGTACGATTTTCCACGTGTTTTTCTATGTTTCGCAATTTTTATATCAAGATTTGTAGCTGTATTAGTGGACTTAATTAAAGTACACTAACACTATTGAAAAATTTACAACTTAATTTAATTAAGTCGCAACCACAGAAATTTCTAAGTCTCGATCACACGCGTGAGAAACATAAGAAATTATTAAAAATTTTCATACAAATTAAACGACCCCATATAATAGTGATTTCTGCATGCGCTTGTGAAGTATGTAATTTCATACAAAATCACAAAAAATTATCCTTTTTTGCTTTTTTAAAGCTTGAAATGAAGCAATATGATTCAGTAAAGCTTTTCGACAATATTTCAATCCATTACAGTAAGATCTGACCTCTGTCTTTTAAAAATTCAAAAGCACGAGTTTTTCGGTATTTGATTTAAGAAAAAGCGGAGTTCATATGGAATCCAAATGGAATCAATATGAAGGATGAAAAAATAACCCTCCATTTACTTCCCACATAGTGGAGGTGGCTTTCATATGGATTCCATATGGAGACCACCCTCCACCTTGTGCCGCTCGGGTTTACGATCAAATCGCTTTTTTTTTTATTTCAATTTCTTTAATTACTTCCATTGCACGGGGTGTATAAAAGTTGAATTATTGGATGGAATGGGATAGGAATGTGAAAAGCATCAGGTAGAGCAAAAGAAATTTTTTAATGGAAAAAGATAAATTTATGTACAGGAATGAAAAAAAGAAGAAAAATTTCCTTCCATTTACTTTTTTCCTTTTTTATACCCTTAATGTTATATATTTTATCTTTCTCATTACTTCTGTTTATGTCATGAAAATGGAACTATTTAAATGAAAAAGATTTTTGTTATTTTTAAGGGATGAAAATTCTGGAAGATTTGATTGTTGGTTTTCTGGATGAAGCTTTTGTTTTGGTGCAAATTATTACATTTGAAATAAAATTAATTCATCAATTTTTGGTTTTTTATAAGTGGTTAAGTTTCAGTCTTAAAGATTTTTGCTATTCTGAATAGGACTTATAATGGTAAATTGTTGTGTTTATTCTAAAAAGATCCATAAGTTGAACTTTAACTATGTGATCTGCTTTTATATCAGATGATCTTCATATTGCTCAAAATTATTGGAATCGGGTCAGATGCGCTCTGAAGTCTCGTTGCTAAACCAATTCTCCCAATAATAAATTTATCCTGAAATTCAACATGACATCTCTCAATTATCATTTCAATAACCGTCTTGCAAATTCAATTGCTTCGCTGCTTCCTTTATTTCTAATTACTACCAATTTAGTTGTTGCTAACAATCTGCTTGTACAATAATCTTCGTCTTCTTTTATTGCCACTGCTGCCTTCCTTTGCTAAACAGAAAAAGGGCAGCAACAATACTAAATTCGACGCTTATCGTAAAAGGTTCATCAAAATTCAATTAATCATGAATAAAGCAACTTTTCTTATTCCTTCCTTTTTTTGTGTTTTTAGCGTTCAACTTCCTCGCTTTTTGGCATATTATTTTTGATTCGCTTCTACTTGCTTCTTCTATTACAAACGGGTCGACTTGAACTTTTTTACGTAATCTTTTTTTCGATTCATTAATTTGAAGTTTTTGAATATTTTTGTTTCGATGTTTTTCTTCTACTTTGTTCTGATACAGAAATTTTCTTCTCGTCACTTGTCACACAGTGCGAGATAATAAGAAGAAAGGCATATAATAAAAAGAAATGAACGAAACAAAAATATAAAAATACGTTAAAAACTGTGTCAACGTAGTTTTGTTTCTATTTTATTTTTGCCAAGGGATGATGGCATGATTGAAGATGGTATGGTTTTTAACTTTCAGGAGCAATTAACTTTCAAAATTTGAACTAAAAGCAAGAACAAGCTGGAATTCACATCTGAGTCCACAAATATTTTTGGTTCTTAAAACACTCTATTAAAAATTCGAACAATGCCATTAAAAACTATTAAATTCGTTGCCCCTTTTGAAAAATTTCATTAAAATTGTTCTCGCATCAAGAAATTCTGAAACTATCTCAAGATATTTATCTTTTTGTGAAGCTGGGTAAAAATGAAAATTTTTATTTGTCTCCTTTTTTCACATTTTCATCTTCCTCCATCCCCTGTTTTCTCTCATTTTCAATGCTATTGTACGCCATTAGAAACCCAACAACCAATTTTATGGATGACAGCAAAAATTCTATCAATTTTCAATGAGCTGGAAATTTGTTGGAAGAGCTGCGTATATACACATGAGCAATGCTGTGGAATTTCGATGAGTTTGTGACATAAATAAATGTTGCTGTGCTATCATCACCGTTGTTGCTCTTTTTTTATTCGTCTTCTTCCTTTTCACCCATAAACATCATTATTTTTTGCAGCGTTTCTCATTTTCTTCGTCGTCAAATAAAACGGAATGAAAATGTTGATTGTATTTATTCTTATTATTGGATATATGTTTTTTTTATTAAAAGAGTAAATATGTGCGTCATTGGAAAGAAAAATATCTCTAAATGACATCTTATCCTCAAATCTTTCTACGAACTTCTTATTACTATAAGAAACAACAAAGTTAAAAAAAATTGTAGGTTACGAATTTTTGCGTCAAAAAAGAAACAACAAACAAAGAATAATATTTAAAAAAATAATATTCCTTCCAGTAATTCCGTTTCTTTATTACTTAACTACTTTCAATTTTCGAGAATTGAGCAAGAAAAGATCATAAAAACAACTGATACGCTAATTATTGAGATAAAAAAAAACACTTGCTTTAAATTTGTCGCATAACAAAGGCAATTGTCTCATTTGCTTCTGCTGTTATTTCTTCATCTTACTGGTAAGCATTTTCTGAATGGTTTTGCTTGCTTTTTAATTGAAGCTTTGATAAGAGAAACAAAATGATATTTTGGGATTTAGCTATTAAGATTTTAAGAATTAAAGTCAGAACCATGAAGTAATAATAAGAACTTATCATTCTTATCTATGCTAATTAATGAATATTAATATATTTTGCACAAGCGGAAATTATTTTCTCATGCAATATTGTCTACAAAAGCTAATAATTAACTGCCAAGTCATCCAATCCTTTAACAGAAAAAAATATGGCGATGAAAAAAAAAATTCAATTAAAAGTTTTTTAATTAATTTTTGCTTTTCATTCTTTTTATCCATTTTTCAGGTCTGCGTATTCTCGCCTTTCCGTGTAATCAATTTGGATATCAAGAGCCTGGAAATGCTGAAGAAATTCAATGCTTCGTACGTGATCGTAAAGTCAAATTTGATTTATTCGAGAAGATTGATGTCAATGGAAAGGGTGCACATCCCCTTTTTCAATATTTGAAGAAGGAACAAGGTGGAACTTTATTTGATGCCATCAAGTGGAACTTCACAAAGTTTGTTATTAACAAGGAGGGAAAGCCAGTAGAACGCCATTCACCAAACACTTCACCAAAAGAGATGCTCAAGAATTTGGAGAAATATTTTTAATTTTCTCGAGCGAGGGTCATTAATGCTTGTTTTAATTGCTATGAAGATACTGTGATGAATACTACCTTCTACCATCGGTATCTTTTATTACTTCTTTTCATGCATTTCATTGGGACAAAATTTCGTCCCCTTTAATTTGTAGTTATTATCATCATTATTTGGAAATAAAAATGGGTTAATGGAATTTTTTTCCTTTTTGTTTTTGGAACTTACTTTTCCTAAAGCTATCTTGATTCATGTGGAAGAGAATTTTCGGAATTTTTATCACCAGACATTGTTTAAAAGAAATATCTTTTAAAGGAACTTAATACTAGGATTATAATGGAGAAAAAAATCTTGCGTGAATGGTGAGTCATTTAATAGATATGAGTTGAAGACATTTATGGTAAAGACAGGAACGGAGCCAGACGTACATATTATAATAGTAGAGTTGTTCCTGAACCTTATTTCCTCTAAGTAAAAATGCCAAACAGCAACTTTCATTATACAAATAAATCTTCACAAAGGAAGTAAGAATTAATAAAAAAAAAAACAGCATCATCAAAATATCAAGATAATTATCAAGTTCGCGCTACAAATAATTTCTTCAAAGCACGAGGCATTCTCATTAATTTATTTTAAAATTTCAGCTTCTTATCTTTCAGATTTTATGAAGATCTCATTATTAACACATTTTCTGAAATAGAGTTAGAAACAGCAAATACTTTCTATTGAATTGCTTTCTCGAGTTGATTTTGGAAATTTTTGTCTCCTTTTATCTCTAATTTGTTTATTGATAGCATCATAAAATTCTTAGAATAATTGTCTTATGTCTTAATGAGGATTTAACAAGAATTTGTCAATTTGATGATTGGAGTGCTGCTTCTAGAAACAAAACAAGATTGAAGATCGTTAAGTATTTAAATAGAATATTGATGATTAGGATTTGTTGATTTCTAGATGTTTGAAAACAAAACAATTTGATGGAAGCATCCGAATCCAATTGGCAATTAAATTTAAAAAATAACCTAATTGGAGCTTTTGAAGTTAAATTTATATCGATGAATCATTAATCAGAGTGAAATGTTCATCAGCTCCTGAATGTTTTTAACAATATAATTTTAAACGTTTAAAATTGCTGCATAAAAAATTAAATCTTTACAATAATACTTCCATGGTTGACCACACAATAAATATGAAGTATTAACCAATGTTTAATAAACTTTTAATGAATAATCGATAACTGCAAAAAAGTCCGGATTCATTTTATAGTTCCTGTTAAAAATGTTATTGCAGATAATGATGAGTTTTATCAATGAGTAAATTAACTGAATATTAAATTTTTTCCGAAGGGAAGGAGAAACACATTGAATTAAACAAACTCGACTCTTTAAAGTTCAAACGACTCCTATAAAAATCTTTTCCTTTAAAACTTGACATTTAATACAACTTTTTGTGATACAAAACTTACTTGAGAATTAACAGAATTATTTTATTCAGCAAATACAGCTTCATGTTTAATTAAAATATGTATTCCAAAATAATTTTCCTGTCAAATTAAAATAACATGACTCCAGAGGATTAATCTGCTACAAAATTGACATTATCAAATCAAAATACAAAAGTATTTACATCCTCAGTTTGCTAGAACATAAACTACATCTGAATTTTCATTTCCATGAGTTCATGTCCATAAATTTTCTATGTTATAGCTGCTAGGCATCTGGCTTTCACCAACTGAGTAGCTTAATTAAATTTCTATGCCATTTGCTGCACTAGCATACATGCACAAGATGCAAAAACATTTTTTCCACTTCAATCCTTTCGAATTTTTTAATATATTTTTTGTTGCATGATATGAATAAATTAAATGCAAAAATTTTTCATGTGAACAATTAAAAAAAAATTCCACACAATGGCAGAAATGCTGAAAACAATTTCGATGCAAAAATATGCAAATTCGGTTCTCTTTTGTGCAACACATGAGCTGAAAAAAAATAATAATTAATTAAGCTAATTTTGGTGAAAAGGAAATAAAATTTTCTCTCATATCTACAAGGAAATTGCAGCGATTTAGGTGCAGAGCTGACGTAGGTGGCAAGGCAATCACTTTTAATAATATCCGTGGCTTTTAAATGTCCTTTAAATCAATAGTTGATAAACATCACTTATGAGTCGTTAATAAATCATGTCATCTGTCATGTTATTATGATATTTGCACCCCTTATTAACAACCTTCAAAGATACCTTAATTAAAGAATTTCCTCATTAAATGAAAAACTCATAAAATATCCTAGTATAATGAAATTCTCATCATGTCACAGTAGTAAGAAGTCACTCAACCATAATGAATTCGCTAATGGCCATCATCATCATTTGCAAACGTCAAATACCTTTGACCATAATTAATATTGGAAATAAATTTCATAAAATAACTCACATTTTTCGAATAATTATGCTCGCATTTGCATCCACAGACTCAATTTAACCTCAGAAAAAATAAAATTCCAATCAATTTTTTTATCTCGTTTTATTTCGATCCCCATCATGTGCATTAAATTGTTGCAACAGCACTTTCCACACCAAAAAAAATGCTCCATGATATTTTTTATTATTTTGCCTTTTGCTGTACAAGCAACAGAACCAGAAATTAAAACAGTAGTTGCAAATCAACAACAGCACATTGTGCATTCTATTACTCATAAAGAACTGCTGTCGACAGTTTTCGATCCCTCACCCCTCCTCTTCTTTCCGTGATATTTTCCATACTTGCATTATTTTCTGATAAATGCAAAGCAAATGCTTTCGAATTGAAAAATAAAAGAACGGAAAGAGACACGTACGGTTTATGGAAAATTATCTTTTTATATCCATGTTCATGTGCTTTTATGCATTCATCTCGAAGAATTTTTTAAAGCGTTTTGCAATAGATTTTTTAGATGCAAAAAATGGGAATTGAAATAAAGTGCTGATAGAAATTTCCTTATGTGAGTGAGTGTATGGTAGATTAATCATAAAGGTTTTTATACATACAGTTTATTTTATGCATTTATAATTCATACAAAATTCATAAATTAAGATTGTAATATTTTTTGAATCATTAAAGAATTTTTGCGTCAATTCTTTTTAAAACGTGTCACGCAGCTTTAGAACAACATCGTTTCAAAACATGAATGTTTTAAGAAGGCAACTCGTGACGAACTGAACTTATCATGTCTCGTTGAAAATGAACGAACTATAAAGTGCTCAAAGTTATTCAATACAAACAAATTTTAAATTAAAAAGTATCGAAGTACACATATCCACACTATGCATTGTCATTGCATGATGTTTGCATAGCAAAATGAGTTTTAGAATTGAAAAATGAATGTGGGAAGAAGGAGAAATGTCATTTGAATCTATTTTGCAAGCTCAACTAGTTCTCATATTATCCTTTATCTCACAATTTAGATGCAAAGTGGGTAAATAAGGAAGAGAAAAATTTATTCATTCGATTTTGAATTTATGAAATTGACCTAGAAAATTTATTGAGTTTCAAATTGCTTGATTGTCGTACATTTTGGATGCTGTCGTATAGAAGTTTGTTTAAATTTATGACATGGAATAAGATGAAGGTTCTTTATGCATGAAAAGATTGCTTTAAGTATGTTAGAATGTTTTTATCTTATGTATTATAGCAAACAAACCTTACTATTCAGGTCAAAATGATTTAATAAAAGTTATATAATAAATTTTATTATCCTTTTGAAATTTTCAAAAAAACCAATTAAAAATTGAACACCTCAGGGGCCGTTCACTTATTACGTTCGCATTTTAGGGGAAAGTAGGGGGGGGGGGGTGTCAAGAAGAATGTAACGTTCTAACTGTCGTCTATCTTTTAAAAAAAAGTTCACGAAAAAATTTTGAATTATGAACGTTCAGGGGGGGGAGGGGGTAAAAAAAGGCGGTTTTTTTGCTAATAACGTAATAAGTGAACGTAATAAGTGAACGGCCCCTTAAATAAAATTAAAATAAATTTTATCAGCATTTATGTTCTCGATAATTGAGCAATAAAAATGCAGCAGAGATTCATCTCCTTTTTGGTTTTATCTATCCTATTTTGCATTTTTATTAGCATGAATCCATTTTGAAGGATAAAAAAAAATGAATCAATAATTTTTATTTTATATTCTTATATGATTTCCTATATGACAGCGGAAGCATATAGCGACGAGCTAAGTTGAATTATTGTAGCATAATAAAAATAAATTTTTTTTCCTTGCAATAAATTTTTTGAATTTTTCCTTATACGAGGGTTTGGGGATGTGATCCCGAGTGACAGGATAGCAGGAAAGGGATATCCATTTTATGATTTTGGTTCTCAATTTAATGGGATGAAACTTCCAACTTGCATTAATGATATACGTGACTCGGGATCATCCAGTGCAAAAAATGCTGAATTTTGCCCTTTTCTTCAGATGCATCTTCCATTTTGATCCATAAAAGACAAATTAAATTTTGTTCGACGTTCCAAAGCGAAAAATAATAAAATTTAATGCAAATTCAATAAACTTTTTGATGTTGCTTCATGCAAGCTGCTATCAAAATTCAAGCTACGAGTCGATTTATTCTTAAAACTTCTCGTCTCGGAACCGAAACGTGAACGTGATTTTAATGAGCGTTGTGGTGTTGATTTTCGACTAACAATCTCATTTGACTGCGAGCGAACGGGCTTTGTTACGATCCAGAAGTTGAACGCAAATGCTAATTCTGACTTGAAAGCATCCCAATGCGTTATCTGCATTTAAATAGAGGAGAAAAGTAAATTAATTAAATGTTTTATTCTTCATGATATTGAGATGATATTGGTGTGTCTTGCAGATGCTTCATGCTTATAGAAATGAACAGTTCTGAGCATTAAAACTGACTCTAAGGTTAAAATGCAACAGTTCAGCAAGACTCTCCATGGTAAAACAGCTCAAACTTTTGAAGATAATAGAAAGTTGATTAAAGAACTAATAGTCCAACAAACCTTTTCGTTAATTGCAACATGCTGAACGTTTATGAAAAATTCAATGCATGCTACAAAAAATGCCACAAGACATCCACCGATTAAAACCAAGAAGACACCACCGACGTTGCTGTTAACATAGAAAATATATGATATTAGCAAATTTTTAAGGAAAAAGGTGAATGTAATTTAAACTAACCCAATATCCAGATCATCGTGAGGAACCTCGATTGGTGCACATTCTAGAATTACATAATGAGTTGAGAACAATCAAGTGAGGCTCATCATTTAACCAATTTTTGATTTACGAACCCCAAAAATAATCAAAACAACCAAAACCCTTAACAAAATACAGCAATCTTTAGAAGTCTTTCATCCTTAAAACTTTCTTTCGGAGCATCTCTGCTCAAAACATTATAAGGGGCCATTCACTTATTACGTAACGCTTTTAGGGGGAGGGGGGGGTCTAAGATTTTGTTACGGTTCAAACAAGGAAATTTTTTTTTCATACAAATTTTGTTACGAGGGGGGGGGGGTCTAAGAAGTCATTTTTTCGCGTTACGTAATAAGTGAACAGCCCCTAAGAGTTTCATACTGTTTCTTAATTTTTTTTCTTATTTACCAAAAATTTCTTTATAATCTGAAGCAACAGTTTGGCATCAATGCCTTTCAAAACCATACTGTTTGCCAATCTCAAAGAACTTAATTTTTCTTAAGAAAAGTTTCAAAAAGTTTTCAAACAAATTTTGTTTCAATATTTACCTTTACCCGGCGGTGCTTTCCACCAATCTTCCTTCAACTGTGCTAGCACGCCGCTCTCCTGTAGCTTTAAAATTTGTGCACTAAAGAATTTTCGGTATGGTGATTCTAAAATTGAGTACAATTAAAATACAATTATTATGTATTTTCCAAGAAAATACAGTCAGAAGCTTTGGCATTTCAATTAAGTTGATTTAATCATGAAGAATATTTTTTAGAAATCAACATTAGAAATTCAATTTTGATGCTCAGTGATAAATTAAGAAATTGGCAATTAGAAAAAAGCAACAATTCAATTAAATGCCATAGAAATTGTAGAGTTGTGTGTTAAATTACACAAAACTCACCTAATGGCAGCGCAATTCCATAACCCTTACTATCAAGCCACTCTCCAACTTGCATCAATGTGCATCTTCGCTTTGTTTGATACTCCATCGGAACCGATTCCATCATAAATGCATATTTGCCAGCTTCTTTTTCCACTCTATTGACTCCTTCATCGTTTGATGGCGGATTGTAAATGTCAGCATTGCTTTCCATCGTTGCCCACATTCTGTGTTATTGAAACATAAAAAAATTATTATAATTCCCACTTAATAGATCGACTTTTACAAATGAGTACTAATTTAATCTGCTCTAATTTACCTTTGATATGTGCTGTAATTGCTTTCCTGAAAGAATCTCATTGTTGAACCACCTTGAAGTGCTCCATATTTAATTTCAACTTGCTTTGCGAGATCTTCAGCACCATTGATTGTTGATGAGAGACGATCTGATGTCAAGAAGGCAGCAAGATTTGCAGTGTAAGAAGCGAGCATAATGAGAGCAAAGAACCACCACATCCCAGTAACAATACGTGTTGATGAACCTCTATAATGAGGAGAGAAAATCAGATTTGAGTAAAGAACGTGCTTGAATTACTACTGCTAATGAAATGCAAGGATGGAAACTTTAAGAACATGACAAAATGAATAGTTTGAACTCACTTTGGCAGAATATCTGATCCTTGACCCATAATAGAACCCATCATCAGCCAAACACAGTTGAGCACATTCCATATACTCTCAACTTCATCCGGATCTTGATTGCATGGATGTGACGATTCCCAGTCATCATTATTTATTCTCGACAGCACAAATACTAGCACAGATATAAAGATATATGCGAGGCCTGTGTAAATCCAAACGTCTGTCTTAAATGGATCGAGAAACGAGAAAAGATTTTTTGCCTTAGGCTTTGGTTTGACATAAAGAATACTAATGCCGAGATTCATAAATGGTGTTGTAAAGTCAACAACTTTTTTACGGTCATAAGTGATTGTCAAGTCAGCAATTGCCAAATCAGCGCGACTTTTCAATATATCACCAATTAATCCATTCCATTCATTCTTCTCTTTATCGAAATTTCCGTTTTTGTTGTCATCGACGAGTTTGAAGATGTATTTGAAGCGCAATTGCCCTTGAATTCTTCTTATTAAGTCCACAGCATAGCCCGTAAATTGATCATTTCCTAACAATGGATTGCCATTTTTGTCAATTGAATTGTAAAATATGAAGGGAGCTTCTGCACGAGTCACAATTGTGAATGTCTTATTTTGGATTTCAGCAAAAATTTTCTCTTCCATGTCACTTTCTGATCGTTCATAAATGACACCTTTTGTTGTATCATAATAAGCTATTCTGTGATATTGCCTCAATTCTTTTGAATATTCGAGAATATCGAGCATAAATTCAGTCCTTGATCCACGTTTTGGTGACTCATTTGACACTTCCTCTTTATCTTCTTTTGGTGTTGAGCTTTTAATCGAAAATTCGATATGATTAGTGATTCCAGTATATTCTCGAGCTCTTAAAAATTCCAATAATCCATATCCAAATGAAGGCTGCGAACTTCGAGACGAATCACGAATATCAGAACAGCTTCCAATCTTCATTCTTGCATTATTCGGATTTTGGACATAAGCATCTAATCCATTGACAAAAAAATGAATGGAATCGTGAATGAGAGCAGCTTCAAGTGGCATTTGATGTGCTTCCAATGGATGTTCACCGAAAGCATTAATATTTTTTAAAGCATCAGCCATAATGACGCTCGAGACATTATTGATTCGTACAGACGTAATATTAACCAATGACTCAATCAAATCACCATAATCCAAAGTGTATGAGTCGAGATTTGTAATAAAATATTTATTGTAATCCCCAATCATTCCAACGAGTTTTGCTGCTTGTAAAAATGCCACAATTTTATCCGTGCTTATATCTAGTATAACATTCTTCACCTGATTCCATTTTACTTTTTTCAATAAAATTGCGTAATTTTCATCTTCCAATTTCATCATAGTCACTAAATTATCACCATTTGGCTGATGAATTTGCAATATATCCTTTAGTCTTATAAGATTCTCATCATTTTCGTAGATTATTGTATAACTCTTCCATGTATAATCAATGAGTATTCCAGCTACTGTCTTTGCCAATGCTTCCGATTCAGGATAGAAATTGAGTGTCATTTTTGGATCAACATAATCTTGCGATTGACGTGGTTTTGTCTTCCAATGATAAATTAAATGTGGTATTTCAAGCTTTTCTGCCATAGATGATACGATTCCGGATGTTTCAATTGAGCCCGGACCAAAAATTGCCATTGCCCCAATTTCTGCAAGCTTGCAGACTAAAAAATGAAAATGAAAAATTTTCCGCTTTCATGATTATTTAATTTTTCATACTCACCAATCTCCTGTGCTTTAAACGAATCCGTACGGGAAATGTTGAACATCAGAGGTGTAAATTTATATTTAAATTGGTGATTGTTTATGGATTGAAATGTTGTACGAAACACTCTTTGTGATATGTCGTCGTCTCCATGGAATATTCCACCTACGGGAATTAAAGTTTTGATTGATTAAAAAGTTTTGTGGATTGAAAAAGTTTGAAAATTTGTTGGTAGAATTTTCAATGTGATTTTTTTTGTTCTTTGCTCTTTGTTTAGCATGATACAAAATAAATTGCTTATTACCATAATATTATTAATATTAATTGGATGCCTAAAATGCTGATAATAAATTACAAAATATTAGCCATAAATCTTTTCATCCTTAATAGCTATTGTCGCTGACTGACAATCTGTTTTACTCAGATTCTTTATCACTATCTTTAGCAATCTTACGAACACTAAAGGAATTCAAATTTAACAATTCTTGAGCTGTGCCGCAAGACATTTTTCGTAGTTTCAGTCAAAGAGTATCATTTTTGGGGAGTTATGTGCTCTGTGCTAGAAATTTTAAAATTTTATTTTAATACGGAATTGTTTATGATTACGTCTTATGATCAGTCTTAAAGGTCATTTTCGAGAATTTTTCTAGTAATAGCACTTCTGAGCATTGTCATCGACACAGGCAGTGCCGAAATTGCCGAAATAAGAAATAAAAAATTAAAATAAAATCTGTGGGTGTGCTGTTTGCATGACGCTTATTGTTATTAAAAATATTTTTGTCATCAAAATAATTTATAGCGTTATTCTTATTCAAATGTGTCACGGTTTTACGCCTGAGTTTAAAATTTGTCTTCAGTTTTTCCAATGAACTGGATTTTGATATTTAAACTTTTTTTTTGATAAAACATCCTGCAAAATTTATCTTTTAAACTCTATCTGGAGCAGCATCTTTTGAAATGTTTGTCTATGGCATTTTCTATCCAAGTTTCTATTTCAAGGTTGGCGCAACAAACAAGGATCTTTAGCTTTTGTCAACCCAGAATCAGTCAGTAATAAATTAATTAAATCTATATTGATCTTAACCGAGTAAATTGGTTCCTAAGCAATGTTATCTTATGTAAATCTATAAAATTCGTCAAACTAATAATAATGTCATGACTTTCGTACCAATTTTCCTTTCTCCACTAAATAATTACTTCTCACATTGAAACGTGATGGTTGAATAAGTAAATGAGTGAAAAAGAAAAGTAATAAGGTACCGAGGCCTGCAGATATTGTTGGGTAGGAAAGCGAAACAAATGAGATGCATGAAAAGTAAAATAACAGGAAAAAAACATGAAGCGGACGTTTGTTTACGTTCTCTTACAATAACAGCAATAATAACAGAAAATAAATTCGGAGAAAAAATTTTCATGACTCAACAACGAGCAGCATTAGAGAATTTTTTCTTCTTCCTCTGTGCGTGTAGCGATGAAATTTGAGTGAGCCGCGCCGAGAGGCAAATGAGAATGTGAGCAGCACACACAGAGTACGAAATTCGATTTTCCAAAAATATCACATTGAAAAAAAAGAAAGAAAATTCATTTGTTTCACTGACTGGGTGAATTGGAGGTTGACGAGGAAAGTTTTTTTTTTATAATATGTGGAATAAAAAATTCCGTTTTGACAAAAAGGTGACCTAAATAACTCACCTACAATGATTTCACGTTTGGCTAGAGAAAAGTTGAAAAATGTCACAAAGAGAATAAAAATGATATATTTCATGATGGAATTTTCCTTGCACTAAATTTCATCTCAAGTCCGAATTCTTTCTTATTTTCCCGATTTTTTTTTTGCTGGTTTGAAAATAAAACAACTTTAATATAGCTTCGACGATACACGACTGATCTCCGCACTGATCATTTCGTTGATCATCTGAAATGAGAATTATTTAGTCTCTCGAATTTTCCCAATGTGTGGAATCTATCCGTATGTCCTTCAATTCTCGAATCTTCTTTTGTCATGTTTTTTTCATTCAATCTCCATTAGAATTGAGTAAATGAGAGAAAAATTGAAAAATAGTTGAATGCTGAGTCAATGACTCTTACAGGTGGCAATGAATTTTTAAGTGGCTGCTATTTATTTTTATAATCGTCATAGCGAGGAAAATTTATGATTTGTTTATGTGTAAATTCGGAAGATACAATATTTTTTATTGGGATAGGTTGCGCGTTTATTAATTGGATACAAGTATAGATTTTCATTCCGTCAGTCAAATTCAAAACAATTTCCATCACAAATCACTTCAAACAAAATTACGACAAGTTTTATTTTTCAATTCCAAAAAAACAGGGGGTTTAATACAAAGAGAACATTACAATTTCAATTTTCGTACACAAAAATAATTTAGTTTTCAATTTCCATTCTCCTTTGTGCTCACTCAGCTGCATACATTTATAAGGGCATATAAAAATGTTTCCAACTAAATCATCTAAACAAAAAAGTTTATAGCCAGCATAAAGTAATTGCAAATTGATTTTCTCGCTCGCTTTTCAATCGGAATTGTTTTTACGAGTAAAGAAATTTCCAATTCGATTTAAATGTGAAAGACTGCGTGATGTAAAGCCATTTACTTTTTCATTATTTAGATTGACACTGTGCACGGATTTTTCCTTGCTGCTTTGTGCTTCTGAGCCATATCTCGATGATTTTTGCGAGCGAGGCGTCGATTTTGGACTCTCTGATTCTGATAGACGATTACAAACAGGCTTTGTAATGATCCAGATGTTTACGGCAAATAATAATTCGCTCCTTAATGCCTCCCATGGTGTTAACTGTAAGCATTTTTAAGGGACACAAAAATAAAGTATTAAATTAAATTGAAAAGAAACGAGGACCACAGAAGAGAAAAAATTAAAAATCATCAAACCTTTTGTTCAACAGCGACCTTTTTGACATTCCATAGGAATTCAAGGATAGCAACAATTAGTGCAAAAAGACATCCGAAACCCAAAACCACAAAAACACCACCAACAGCATCTGCAATGTTTTTTGGTTAAAAATATTTTTTTATAATTGGTAGTGTTGATGTCATTATCGTCACGTTTTAAAGCAACAATTACCTATTCCCAATTCAGCAGCATCATCAGAGCCGCCAGATTCGGGCTTTTTGCACATTCCTTTTATTGAGAGTTGAGAAAAATAAATTAAATTAATTTGATTCTACATGAATTTTACTAATTTAAAGTATTGTTCACGAAAGCAAAATTATTATGTGACATAGCAACGCCAAATATAATTTTTTAAACTACTAAAGATTCGAGTTTGCTGTTTATTTGTCAAATATTTACATCCTATTCCACCTAATCCTGTAATTACGCTTCTGATCAAAAAAATATGTAATACCTTCGACTTTAACAACAAACCAAAAATCAGCATGATCCGTAGAATTAATTGGATACATATCTAGTTAAATTAAAATAAAATTCAATGCTAAACAAACCTCCTTTCCACCATTTCTCCTTCAAAGCACTCAATTTTCCATCCTCTTGTAGCTTTAAAACAGCACCGCTAATTGCCGTACGATATGGTGAATCTACGTGATTGAGAGAAAATTTCTTTTATAAAAATTATTTCCTCTTATTTCGTAACAATAAATGAAACAGGCATAAGTGTTAATTAGTATATGTGAATTTGTTGTGTTCGTACGTGCATGTAGAGAGGAAGTGAAAGCTTCACCTCACTGTTGATTGTACATTAGTGTTAATGTGTATATGTATACTGAAAATAAAGCATAGCAAATTCACTAATGGCAAGATTCATTAAAATGAGCAAGCACTTTTTGTGGCTTAGTCTTAATTTTGAGTTTCTGTTCCAATGATAATTACTAAAAATCTGGTAAAACTAAGGCTGGAGTTTATTTTGGAAAATGAAAAATATGTTATTTCATGCAGAAGAGAGATAAGAGAATCTGAACTTGAAGGATTTATAATTTGTGAAAGCTGTTACTATTTTTAATACGAAAGGGATTTTTTGACTTTTTGGAATGATTATAAAAGTTTTTTGAATTGAAGGCATAATTAGCGAATGATATAAGTGAGCTACATCCAAAATCATTATTTTAAAAATTCAGAAACCCTAAATCAATTCAAAATTATGTACTCTAGATATTTAATGTCCAAGGAAATTAGGCACGAAGTTCATTAAATTAACAAACAATAATTAATTAGTCCGAAAATCACGATCCTCGCTGAAATTTATCAAACCATAACTCAAAAATTCCGTTCCTATTTTTCAACATTCAGTGCTATGGCAAGAGATGTCATCAGCAGTATTTATGGAACTATGCATAATTAAAATAAAAAGCGACCCCAAATATTAAATTATAAACATTAATTAAAGCTTTTCTTTATGTTGTCGACAATTTACTAGGATTTCTCATGATGCTTCTTATGAAAAAAGAACCTAAAAGCACGAAACAGCAGCATTAATGTCATTAATCAAATATAAAATGAAGCGAATGAATTTTATCTTTTTTTCTATGAGTTAAGAAAGGCCACAATTGTACGTGATGCTTAAATATCCAGCTTTTCTCGTCTTGTTCTCTGTTTGACTTTAATTTAAGTTTTTATGCCTTTTACATTAAAATTCAGTTGATATTCAACTTAGACTTTTGCTTTCGTTAGCAAAAAAGAAACTTTCGCTTCCTTATTACCCAATGGCTTTAAATGAGTCTAATGAAAAAAAGGAAAGCTTTAAAGAAAGCTTTGAATAATTTCCACACTGCTGTTATTGCCAATGCTGCTGTTCATAACGATAAAAAGTGTTTGAAGAAATAAAATGTGAAAGAGGGACAGAAAAAGATGGAAACAATGGTGGTATATTTGAAGTAAGAAATACACTAGCTTTTTTTAAGTGCGCATTTTCTCGAGATGCGAATTTTCTATTGTTGGATTTTTGGTAAACTAGAAGAAATGAGAATATTATTAACGATTGTGTGGTTTAGAAATAAATTATAGAAATTATTCCCCTGCATCGCTATCTGTTTGGAAAATCACATCTATCCCATCTGCCTAAGTGTATTTTCAAACATCAAGTCATATGCAGCAAACCATAATTAGTATCCACTTAAGACAAAACACATCACTCAACTCAAAACCTCTTAACAAAGAAGCTAGTTAACATCATTGCCACTGATGCAAGAAAGGAGGAAGATGATTGAGTAATAAACCTTTTTAGTTTTGCTTCCTTACAACTTCATTTTCTTAATACATTTTTCTGTTCCCTTATTATTTCTGCAAGAAAAATATTTAAAGTGGTTTATATAGTGTATATGCTGTGTTGCAGGCATTAAAAAATTAAGTGTCATTATTTCCACGTTTTTTTCCCTCTAACAATTGTGCTATTTTTTTCAACATGTATCATTGTGTAGCGTTGCTCAATGCTCTTAAAAAGTGACAATAAAAATCATAAAAAAAAGAAAAAAAGCTTGCATGACATTCACTTCCTTTATTGTGAAGAAAAGGAAGGAAGAAAAGCGAATCCCCTTGAGACAATGAAAAATCCTTTCCTTTTTTGTTTCACAAAAAGTTTTTCATCTCATTTTTTTGTACCAGAAGAATATGAAGAACTAACAATAAGAAGTAAAGAAAAAATTGACACAAGTGCCAAAATTTCTCTCTTCCGCATCCATGAAGCAACTTTTCAGTACCAAAAGTTGAAACAAAAATCACAAATGCATACCGTTTGAACCTTTTTCTCTTTCAATCTTTATGTCACATTCTAAATCAATCACTGTGATTGAAGAAGCAGAAGAAATTTCAAACTTTCTCTTGATTGAATACACGATGGGGTGTCCAGCAGAGTAGTTAAATATCTTGCAGTGAAACTACAGGAGATGAGATCGTTTCCTCGGTCAAAAGTTGACTTTTACTATAACATCCGCTTTACTACGATTTGAGAATTAATGTAATTGAATCAAACGTCAATTAGCTTAATGGAATATTGGATTATCATCGTTTTGTAAATGTGACTTCGGTTGTGCTTCACAGGAGGTTGGTGTGGCTCGAAACTTTAATTTCATGAAGAATTATGGGATTTCTGTTATACCAGGAATTTGGGTTGAAGGCAGCTATAAAAATGTCGTATATTGAACTAAAATTAGGCAGTATAAACACAGCGCAGTATAAACACAGCAGTAGCAATAGAATCAATTGGTGAATGATAAGTTTTTCCATGTAATTGATATTTAACTAACCTAAAAATTGACACACTTGTACTTTACTTATTTATCAACGGGTTCCAAAAAGATTATTCGAAAATACATTTAAGCTACTCAGCACAATCTCCAATACAGACAATATTTAAATAATCAATTTCTCAATTTCTTGCATGTTTGCAGATTCTTAAATCAAATGCATAAAGGAATTACATTAAACTCTTAAGAATTTAAGATTTAAAGCCATACAAAATAAAACTTTAAGCAAAAATCAAGAAATTAATTTTCCACAACTGATTTGCATCCCAAACCAATCAATCAGCATGAAACCCTGTGAGAATTCATGTTGTCGACTTTGTCAAGGGAAGAAGAAATTTATTTTGTCCTCGAATCACTTTACAGCTATCGATAGATGTCTCAGAAAATTTGTTTCGTTTTACAAAAAAAAAATCTTCGAAAGCTGAACTAAATTGATTTTATTCTGTATTTTTCTGCATGTATGGATGTGTATAGGATATTTTATATTCTATTCAAAGACAGATACACACTCCATCATCATCATTTATAAATTGAATTACTCAAAATGCTTATCTTTTTCTAAATCATTTGAATTTTTCTGAATGCAATATTAATAGCATGAGAAAGAGACTTACTTCCTTAATGTGTCAATGAAAAGAAATTTCAATCATTTAAGTATGAAAATAATTTGGAAACTTTCATTACGAATATTAAAGAAAAAGTTTGAAATTTTGGTGCTGAATAGACTTTAGAATTTGATTTTGAGCACATCTTTTAAGTTTTAATTTAGCATGGAAAATTTTAATTGGATTTCAAAGGAATTCCTTTAAAAACTTTGGTAAAATAGATAAGAAATCCGATGATTCGAAAAGTTTCACAATTGTTTTAAATCTGTTAAATTATCTGAGAAAATTGAGCTATTGAATTGATGAAAAGTATTTTTTGCACTAGATCGTAGTTAGAAGATATGGTTGTAGTCGCCATGGTTGATGTAAATGAACTTCAGAATTTTTTAAAATATAGTTTTAGGTCCAAAAATCTTACCACTACGGCTAAAGTTTCTTTATTTTAAATCGATTGAAATTCATCAGGAAAAAAATTATGAGAAATAAATTAAAATAATCTCACCAGTCATGCATTGTACAAATCCACATTCCATGATTTTTTAGATCTTCATGCTGCTTCATGCAAGGTAAATCAGATGAAAGGAAAGCTTCATCATCTTAATTTATTCCAACATTCACACATGCTATCATTATATCGAGAAGGCTACGTGCTATTCATTAAAATGATTGTTAACGAAGCCAAAAGGAAAATTAAATCAAATCAAATCATGTCCTAATATGAACGTGTGTGAATAAGTGTTTCGAGAATACTTTAATCGACATGTCTAGTCCTGGGTATAATACCTTTTTCAACTATGAATAAATATGCATACCATCACGTTATATTATTTCTAATTCTAAAATACTTAAAAATCCAAAGTTATTTTCCCCAGACTTAATATTTAAATGAAATTTTGTTGGTATAAAAATCGATACTCGTGAGGAATAAGCAATAGTCTGTAGGAATGTATGACTGAAAGGAACTTCATATCTACTTACTCAATGGAAGCCTATGATGAATGAATGAATGAAAAGAAGATAAGAAGAATAAGGAAAGAAAAACTTTATTTCATTTTCATTACTGAAGAGCACAGGAGAAAGGAATAAGGCAAGAAGAGTGAGGAAAAGCAATTAAATTTTCGAGACTCGAGATTGGAATGTTTAAAATTCTAATCCATAGAAGTGAATTACTTACGCTATTCCATAGCTTTTCGAGTCCAATAGACCACCTAACATTAGAATGAGATAAAATAGAATTCGTAATTTTTATTCAAATTGAAATTGGCAAATCTAGAGATATCGACAAATAAAAATATATATTGACCTATTTGAACTAGATCACAATAGCGTTCTGTGAAATATTCGAGCATTGTTGACTCCATCAAGTAAGCATATTGACGCTTTCCTTTCAACACTCTGTCGCGTCCTTCGTCATTGTTATTTACAAATACTGTCGGTCTTGATGATTCCATAGCTGCCCACATTCGCTACTCAATAGAATGGAAAAAGAACGAACATTTTTTTAGCTTAAGTAACGAGATTTTTTATTGACTGAAGATATTGCTTCGAATTTGCTTGTCTGGGTGCTAATTTGTAATGCGCTGTTGCATTTTTTCAATCCAACTACTTCCCACAACTTATAAGAGTATATAGTTATCGTCAGAATCTCAAATCCAACAAGACATTCGTGAATTTGAAGGAAGTACGGATATTTACTCTATAAAAATTTATTGAATCAATCACCTGATATGTAGAGAAATTCGATTCCTGAAAGAATTTCATTGTACTTCCGCCCTTAACTGCGCCATATTTAATTTTACTCTGCTTCGCTAAATCCTCAGCAGAATTAATTGTTGCGTCCATTCTCTCCATTGTTAAAAATGCCGCTAAATTTGCTGTATACGAGGCGAGCATAATCAATGCAAAAAACCACCTTTTAATGAAAATATCTCTTTGGTCATTTGGAGTTATGTGCATATATAATCTTGTATACTTACCACATACAAGCCACTGTGATGAACGTATTTGGTATGTAGTTAAGTGCAGTCGATGGTCATGCATTCGGATGTGTTCATTCGAGTGGAATTAAAATTGTAAAATGTTAAAAAACAAAGTTAATTAAATATTTTTAAAAGCCAGCATAGCTGGGCTCAAGTGGATAATATGAGTGATTTTCAATTTACTTTGGCAATTACCCAGTAATCCTTACCGATTCGAGTTGAAATTGCCCTTTTTTATTTGTCGTACGTGTTTCAAATTTGACATTTTTTTATTAAGTCGAGGAGTAAAATCGATTAAAGTGATGGACATAATGGACATTCGAGGCATGCAGTAATGTCAGAATAATTTATTACAAAGCGAGATACATGACATGAAAATAGGATGTAAAGAGAAAAAATTAACAGCTTAAGAGATTTAAATTGCTATGTCAAGTCTTACTTAGGAAGGATATCACATCCCTGACCCATTATACTGCCCATCGTAAGCCAAATACAATTGTGCATATTCCATATATTCTCCAATTCTTCCGGTTCTTGATTACACGGATGTGATGATTCCCAGTCATCTGGAGCCATTCTGAAAGTGAATAAGCATAGAGAAGGAATAATAACAAAATGACTAATAGTTTGGTGTATCATGGTAGTTCTGATAGTCCATAAATTTATAATATGCCCCTGAATAGACTAAACTAATGATTTTGAAAAATAATAATTTTAATTCTCACCTTGACAGCACAAACAGCAATATCGAAACGCCGAGATAAGCAGCAAGCATGAAAACCCAAACATCAACACTCAGGGGTGATAAAAATGAAAACAAATTTGGATCTTGTTTGACTGGCTTCAAAAATAGAATGCTAATGCCTTTTTTTGGAAGAGAGAATAAAGCATTTTAATGTTGAAAAATTGTTCACATTCACAAAAAAAAAATGTCACAAGCTTTTTTCTTTCAAACACTCTCACTTCCATGCACACATCCGAAAATTCATTTATTTAAATATGTCAACAAAATGACATTTGATTGAAGTATGTCACACATATCCTCATGTCGACGCAAATATAAAGTCGGAGGAACCACAAATTTTGTGACATGTGATGTAAGTAACAGAGTTAAATGCTGTGGTATTTGAAAATGAGTTTAGAAAGGCTTTGTGCCAATAATAGAGCTGTGTGTTGTGGGATATCACATTTTTGGTTTTGAGTGTTGAGGAAATGAGTAATTTTCTGTATTTACTTGATGATGGAAATTCTCGATGATGCGAAGGAAGCAGTTTTGAGAAATTATGACAGTTTTTGATGTTTTGGAAATATTTTGTGGGTTTTCCTTTGAATGTAGGCATCATAATAAATTTTAATTAATTTGTGAAATCACTTTGTCAATTAAACAACTGACTGCTTCAGACATGCATCCTTGACAGTTGGTTGTTGTTTACCAATTTTTTAAAAAAAATGGACAAATTTAAAATAAAAAATTCAGAAATGCACAAAGCTTATGAAACACATCTGAAATTCTAAAAAAAAATCAATTTTACAGATCTTTTTTTTTAACAAACAATGGAACTAAAATTTCATCCATAAATAAATCTAATTCATTTCAGCATTTTCACTAACATCCATACTTTTGGATGACAGCCATTCTATAAACTGACAATAATTTATTTCTTTTTCATTCTCATTCACAGGTTCAATGTAAAATTTTCGCTAGTCATGCAGAATAGCTTGCTAAAATATATAATTTCTAAAAAAAGGAATCTCGTTCTATTTCAACTGCATGTATATGACTATTGTTTTCAAATTTCTTTTGTTATTTTATGAGATAGAGCGTAATAAAAGTATAAAAAATTAATTGTAAGTATATAAAGCAGAGTTATATGGTCTAGAAATGGGTAATGTGGGTTGTGAGAAATGAATCAGGGTGAATACAACTTTGAGAAATTTTATTTTCCTTTAAGAGAAAATTACCACATTGCGATATACAATGTGGCGGTTTTATGAAAATTATATTAGATATACCATAAAACATATAAGAAAATTTTCCGAATATCACTTCCCCCTGAAGTGAAAAAAAAAATAGAACAGCATAACAAGAGCATTTTTAAAGTACCATTTTTATGATAACGTTTTGTGTATAAATCAAAAATAAGCATCAAGAGATTGTGTATGACAATAAAAGGAAAGGCATTATTTGATAAAGAAAAATAATTTTTTCAGTGATGTAAAATAAAAATCTAAAAATTGATATTTTTCTATTAAGGTTTGAATGATCTATATGCCATATTGTGTTATGGCATAATTATTGAAAATATTTTCATACAAAATGTCCATTTTTATGCTTCCAAAAAGACTTTTAAATAGAACATTTTATGTAAATGCTTATCTAGTTCAAACAAGTCCTTACTATATATCTACAAACATTTGTATACCCAACTTGCCTTGAAATATTCAGAAGAATTTAACTGGCAATAACCTAATTAATAAATCATGTAAATTTTTACAATAAAAATTCAGATAATAGAAGAAAAGTATAAATAAAACAGAGCTTTTCCAAAACTTTTCATGGCTACATGTGTGCACAAATGCTGAACAGAATGAATATAACAAAAGTAGTTTAAGTAACATTTAAAAGATGCTTGTGTCTGGTAAAACAATTAAAAAAAAAGTTAAAATCATAACAATAATAACGATAAGCATTGAAAACGAGTTATATACAGTCAGTGCTAGAGAAAGCAAGAAAATGGAGAAAATTTATTATTATTTTATTCCGTTTTAAGAGCACCGATGTACTATAAAAAGATTTTGATATTTAGGATCAAGGGAATTCATGTCGCTATTTGTTATCTTGTGTGTCATAAAAATGTTTTGCTTTTTAATTGAACGATGAGCTTTGGATTCACAAATAAGTACATCCATGAATGCCCCACCCGAGATTCCTCAACTCTCAGCTGCTGTACCATAACTTTTCATCACTGACACACATTTACATTCAATAAACTTTACTTCGTGTTTTAGATGCAAGAGCACGAGCTATAAAAATGAACTAAAACTTTCTTTAAACATTTTTATGTTTGGAAAAACTGAAAGTACATAAATTGAAGGAAGAAGCTTTTTACCACCGATTTATGGCACACGGATCTCGCTATTCTCTCATAGGATTATATTTTTATTCAACGTGCCTGTGTGGATGGTAGTTAAAAACATAAATAAATAAATTCATTTAAAATCATGCAACAGTGGATATAGGGATGAAGTGGGAAGTACGAGAAAAAGGGATATTTTATTTCATAAGCATAACAATATCATCAGATTATTTATTAAAAAATTGGGATGTTGATTTTGCCTTCTTTTATGTCATGACAGTAAATAAGCCGTTTTGGTCCATAACTGTAAATAGGACTATTTTTGATAATGGCTCTTTTTATTGCATTACGAAACAAAGCAAATTCTCATTCGGTTGCCTTTTTGGCATAGTCCTTGACATGAAATCACTTCCTTGGAAAATTTCAATCTCACATAAAAAGGCTATAAAAGTTTCAAGATCTTGGACGAGCCTCAGTAATATCTCTTTTATGTATCAGCATAGATGTACAGAGAAATCATATTCGATCCTATCTAGTCGCTTTTGATAAATTCAGACAAAAAAAAATTTTTAAAGAGCAAGTAGAATTTGCATATTAAAATCTGCGGCAGCTCTCCCAAAAATAGAAACTATAGCCAAAAAAGTTTGTCAAGCTTTTATTTTAATGAAACAAAAGCGGAAATTTAAAAGAATTTTATGAATGCAGTTTCATGTTTCCTTGTATGAACGTTCCTCGTTTATTTAATGCCGAATTTGTCATTAGAGCTATGATTTAATTTTATTTTGGAGGAATTTGAGATATTTTTCATCAACATGAAAGAGAATTTTCAAGAAAGATGTTTTGAATTTAAATGATTCTTTTTAGCTGTGCTTAGTGCTTAATCATAATCATACGAGTTTTTTTGTATTTAATTCGCAGAATATTATTTGTAAATTAAACAAAAATTTGTTATCGTCTAGTATAAATCCTTTAGTCATGTGTGTGGATGTGGCTATTGTTTGATATTTATTAAATTTAATATTAAAGGATATCCATATTGCAGATTTTTCTAATTATTTATATAGTAAAATATTGAATATCTCTGACCATTACAAAACAATAGCAATAATATCAAACAAACAATCACAAGCACATATGCTACACAACAATAGAATACAAAATCACATTGAAAACTTTGTAAATGTAAGGAATTCACTTGCAACAATATCATCAAGTAACAATTGAGATAAAATTGCATGTTAAAAATAGAACAACTTGCAAACTATGCAAGCATATATAGAAGAGAAACTCATAAACTTTAAACTTAGACAAGAATTTGAAAAGGAAATTATTCGATAAAAGTTTTAATCCATTAAAACTAGTGAAACTGGAAAAAAATGCAATCATAGAGTGGATGAACGCGCAGAATGAGATTTGGTTGGACTTTAAGCTACACATGTGTCTGGTTCCTAGTATTTATATAGTGGTTTGTGCAGTATGTAATGTAAGAACTTGAATTGATGGTACGAATGTTCATTTTTGATGTGTAAATATGTAAAACATCATAATTCAAAACCTTTAACAAGGTATAATCTCATTAAAACGACTAGCCACATACACTTCAGTCTTGAATATCAATTAAAATTTTAAAAGTCATGTAAAATAATCACAAACTTCTCATTTCCCACTCATTAACATTTTCTAAAAAGAAGATCAGTATCGTAAGCTTAAAAAGAGCATAAAAGTTCTGCTTCCCTCATAATTTTGTAGCTTGCATTTGTATCTACACCACATACAAAAACCATAAACTTTTTCACTCTGTATTTGTGACTGTACATATGTATAATATGATATGATGAGGTTATGTACATGCTGGATTTTCTCGACTTCCTTTTTATTCCACATTTGTAGTTTTTGTGGTTTATTAAAAAACATATTTCATGCTACAATAGAACTCTAGAGGAGTAAGAAAAATTTCTGAAATTTTTTATGACTTTTTTTTATATTTGAATATCAATAATCTTTATTTACTGCTTTTGAGAATGCAATGATATTTTTTCTTCCTGCTGGAAGTAACAAGAACCTATAAAATTGAAAATAAAAACTTTAGTTCTTTGTTTTTGGAGATTTGAGTTTTTTTTTTCAATTTTGATGACATTTCGGTCTGTAGGATTTCGTGGGATGTTTTTTTTATGGCATTACAGCTAAACTATCGAGATTTTAATTTTCTATGTCTATCCAGTTATTTCCAAAATGGTGGCATGTTTAAATTTGCTAAAACAGGCTAAAACTTATGTTTACTCTCGATTGTGATCAAATCGGACACGAAAAAAAGCTCTAAATTTTCAATAAAATGAACACATTTCCCTCATAAAGAAAAATAAATTATCTTTAAAATAAAAATAAACAGTCACTAAAGGCAAGTCCTATTTTTCCACAGCAACATGCCACAAAAGTTTGTTCAGTAAATGTGCTGGTCGACTCTATTTCAATCTCAAAATTGATTTTTTTATATCGTTTATTTTCAAGACAGTTTGTAACTGTTTATTTTACTGACCCAAAAGGAAATCAAAGGAAAAAGGTCTGTAATTTTAGAGCATTAAGAATTATTTAGTAGAAACAATTTGCAATGCCATATAATTTAAGTAAAAAATACTGCAAAGCATAAAAATTAAAGCAAAATGTTACCTTAATGTGTATCTGTAGTTTTCTAAAAACAGAACATGAGTGTAAAGTCAGATAATCTCCAGCTCGAGCTACCAAATGTCTCTTAATAAGTTTAATTAAATTAATATTTTTCACAATAAA